TTAAAACACCAGACTTCAGTAATGAAAACCATTTGGTAGTGAAAAACCAAAATAGAAAGAGTGATCAAATCAGAATGCACAGTCTGAAAAAAATTATAAAGAAAAAATAGATGTGAAAACAGCAGCAGGTTTTAGAATAAATTAAAATCCAAATAGATTTCTCAGCTGGATTCCTTTCTCAAAGATTTATTTACTTTTGTTTCAAGTGGATGTGTGTGAGCCTGCATGAGTTTATGTGCACCCCATGTGTGCAGGAGCCCACAGTGGCCAGAAGAGGGTGTCAGAGTTCCCAGAAATGGAGCTAGAGACAGGTGTGAGCCACCACCTGGGGGATGGCAACTGAACCCCAGTTCTTTGCAAGAGCAGTAAGTACTCTTTGGTACTGAGCCATCTCTCTGTCCCTCAGCTAGATTTTTACCCAACAAGTAACCCCTTCAATGTGTTACAGAGGACTAAGGCCCCTCCTTCCCAAGCGCACCAGTAATGTCCAATCAGAACTGCTTCTGTTCCTAGGGATGGCCTTGGCTCTTGAGCTGTGTCTGCCCAGCATGTACATTTGACATATGTGCTGTCTCCTAGTCCCCTTTCATCATTAGCATCAATGTGCTTCAAATCAACATGAAAATGTGGATGAGGAGAGGACTCAGTCTTAAGAGTATATACTGCTTTTAGAGAAGGTCCAAGCTCGCTTCTCATCATCCACATTGGGTAGCCCATAACACTGCTTGTAACTCCAGCTCTAAGGGATTAGCTACCCTCTTCTGGCCTCTGTGGGTACCTGCACTCACATGCACATACTGTTACACACACACACACACACACACACACACACACACACACACACACACACACATTATTTTAAAAAAGTAGCTAGAGGAGCCCAAAGCATCCAACACAAAGAGATGATGGTGGTCTGAGGAGATGGAGATTCAAATTGCAGTTCAATCATTGTGTGTTGTATATGTGCATTCCAACATTATGCCATAAGCATGAACATGTGTCAGTTCAGACCTGAATAACATCCATTAAGCAACTGAATGGCAAGCTGAAAAAAAAAGTAATGATAGCTATTTGCACTGTTTCAACGTGAAGAGGTTTTGTAAGAGGGACAGGAAAGAGTGAATGGGGCTCTGAAATAGATCAGAGAAGATCTCAAAGGATGCCACTGATGACATAAAGCAATTGTAACTATCATGATGTGGGAGATGAGGGCAGGAGCAAGCACAGAACCTCCAACAACCAATGGAAGAGGCACCAGCGATTTCCTTCACCTGCCTTTGAATCAGTAATTCGGTTTAGTACGTGGCGCTGCTATAGAGTAATGCAGCCTAGACTGAACCAAACACAAGACTTGAACTTGAAATCACCCTGCCTCAGTCTCCCAAGTATAAGGGTTCACAGGGCTGTACCACCAGGCCTGATGGTCACTTACTATTTTATTATAATATGTGCTGCGATATTAAATATTGGCATGTCATTTCTTCCAATCACAGCAGGAACTTGACCTGTCTTTGCCTCTTCATTGTGACATCACCAGGAGCCTGGGCCCCCACAATGGCACACACAGGCACTTGGATAGGAAAGCTCCATAAATATCTGTTATCATTACAGTTAACTGTTACCTTTTTAAAATCTAAACTCCATTTCGATAGCTTCCCTCAGACCACTGATATCACAACCAAACTTTGAGCTTGTGCCTGGGGAGTACTCTTTTCTATTTTCCTACATATGGTAATTAATGTGCATTTTTCCTAGGGTGCAAGAAGATGGCTCTTAGAAGCTACACCAATTGGCATGGTCAGTGACTGCTTGTCAGAGCTGCCCGCCATCCTTGGAGCCTGACACCTGCACATGTCTGAGTCATTCCCTGACTCTAGGTTCCCTTCCTGCCTCCCGGGGGGGCTGAGTTCAGTGCAGACTCATCACAGACTGGTTAGTGCCTCTGGCTTTTCTGTGGAATCCCATCTAGTCAGTCCCCAGTACTCTAAGACCCCAGACCATCCCCACGGACACATTTGTAATGCAGCTAATGAAGTCACCATTGTGGGTGCATAAGCTTTTCACTAAATACTGTGATGTGGTCTCACACAGGGGTGACATCCTGGGGCCATTTGCTCAGGGAGCAATCTCCAGACAGCTTAGCACTCATTAGAAATGGGGTGTGAGGGACTGGATCACAGAACATAGTAGGGTCTCTGCTGCTCTTAGGCTCCTAGCCAGGGATCACTGAAAAGAGGTTAAACCAGGGATGTTGGAAAAGGTGCCCCAGGGGAAGGTGACAAGAGCCATCACACTGAAGCCCTGAGTGAGGTGACAGCTGGGTGGGGTGTAATGACTCCTCCAAAGACACTGACGTAAGCTGAACATGCACCTCCATGAACACGCACCTCCATGAACACAGGTGCAGCTCTTCATTACCTGTATCTCTTTAACAGGAAAGTTCCAGCACAGCCCTGATTCCCTGTTTCCCAACCACAGGACTGGTGGTTAGGACGAGGTCCTTCCGTGCAGGCAGCTGCCATGACAGCTCACAGCACAAAGATCCTAAGACCTCTGACAACTCCATGCGTGGCACTGGCTGCTGGTAGCCCTTCTTCTAATCACTGTGATCGGACAGGAAGCAAGTTCAGGGAGGAAAGATTCACTCTGACTCGTGGTTTGAAGGAACACAGTTCAGTTCATCATGGTATGACAGTGTGAGCAGCTAGTAGCCGGAACTGCTGGGTGGCTTGCTCACATCTCAGAGGACCGAAAAAGAGGGAAGGTGAGAATGAGGGTCAAAGGGAGGGAGAGTAAGAAACTGGTACCAGAAGCAGAGCTCAGACCTGCCCCCAAGGACTCACTTCTTTTAGCCAGGCCTTACTAAATGTTCTGCAGGTTCCCAAAACAGTGCCCCCATCTGGGGACCGGGCGTTCAAACATGTGCGCTTGTGGAGGACAGTTCACATTTAAACCACAATTTCTGCAGATTTACTTGGTCAGTTTCCCCTGAGCTGTCCGGTGTTCTGCTGGCATCTGCCCATGCTCACAGCAGTGGACAGGCTGTGTGTAATCTTGAAAACATTGCAGGTGACAGGCTAGTTTCTGAGACTCGATTATCAAGTGTGGTGCCATTAACTCAGTGCTGGCTCTCTGGCTCCGGATGTCATTTTTAGCATGTGGTTGCTTAGGCAACATTACCCCGACATCTTCTAACCTCTGATTTTCTTTTCACAAGAAATTTGCGACTGTATTAGATGCTGTAGAGCTAAGTGCTCCTAATTTATCTGTCTCCTATATCACAATGATTTGGAAGCATTGGCAGATAGCTACTTGGATATTTCTCACCTTTCAGATGATCCAAAGGCGTGCGTTTAAATGGTTATGAAAACAGCTATGCCTCTTAGAAGCTTCTGAAGATTCTACCCCAGGTGTCTTTACACTAAGAGCCATCGGGAACATTATTCTTAAAACAGATGGATCAACTCAGGTTGTGACCAAGGAACACTTGGTATCCCTCGAAAACTAGCTAGCCTCAGAACTAACATTCAGAAGGAAGCCCCACCATAACTGGCCATCAGAACCAGATCAACAATCTGCATGTTATAGATTTGTCCCATCATTCATCGACATTCTAAGGCAAACTTTAAACTACAACAGCTATATGGGTTGTGAACAAATCCGTAAATTGTGAACCAGTTAGGCAGATTATGTAACAATCATTGAGGCACAATGGAACCATCAGGGAGGCTCCTCACAGCTAAAGACACTAAGATCATTCTGTTTGATCTAGATGCCACTTCAAGGATCTTTCATGCTTCTAAGAAACTTACCACACCTAAACAATGTGGGGCTTAGACCCAATGAAGCTCTGTAAACCCATGGAAGCAAGCCTGTGTGAGCGGCCTCATGAGCAACTTGGCAAGTGTTTCCCAGGAGAAGCTAAGACCAAACTGTGCCAGAAGCAATCTCTGATATCTACGTCTTCCAAGTTCAGGATGAATGGCACCCCTGGGACCTTTAACTTTTGGATTATACATCTGAGGTGTTACAGGTTGTTGTGTATGTTGCGTATGATCTTGTGTAAGTTTGTCTTATTTATTTATTTTTTTTTTGGCTTTTTGAGACAGGGTTTCCCTGTGTAGCTTTGCAGCTTTCCTGGAACTTACTCTGTACCCCAGGCTGGCCTCAAACTCACAGAGATCCACCTGCCTCTGCCTTCCGAGTGCTGGGATTAAAGATGTGCGCCACCACCGCCTGGCTTGTAGTGTTGTTGTTGTTTTGGTAGTTTGTCTTATTTAAACACACACACACACACACACACACACACACACATGGAACCTTGGAGGTGGCTTGCACTACAGCCATTGTGCTAACACAGGCAACGTGCCTGGATTTGGAATCACCTAGGAGACACACCTCTAGGGGTGTCTGTGAGAGCTTTAACAGGGAAATAAGACCCACTCTGGACATGAGCAGCACTAGTTCATGGGTTGGGGTATTTGGTTGAATAAAAAAGGGGAAAGAAAAAAAAAAGGAAGATGAGCAGCAACATTCACCTCTCTGCTTCCTGAACCCAGACACAATGTGACCACCTGCCTTCCACCACCACCACCCCGACTTCCCAACATGATAGACTGTACCCTCAAACCAGGAGCCAAAACAAACCCATCCTTCCTCTCACTGCCTATGTTGGGTATTTTGAAACAACAATAAGAAAAGCAGTCAGCTCAGTTGCTCTCTGGGGAACTATGACTCAATGCTAAGCATAGCCTGGATTTAATGGAGCTGATCACACTGCTTGTCTGTGGTGTCAAATCACTCAAAGAATGGCCTATAGAGCACCCTGGACTTTTTTATATGGTCCCTTTAAGGCCCCCAACCACCAAAGACTACAGGCTCCCAATGGCCTCTCCTCTCAGCTCCTCAAGGTAGAGGTTACCTCTGCTCACACTCTTCCTACCTGCCTGGCATAGGCACAGCCCAGAGGGGAAGTCCATGAATGTGTGACACAGACATACCCAAACATGGCGACCAGGAGGTTGACCAGCAGGATGTTGGTGGAGAGCATGTAAATGCACACCAGAGGGATGGTGATCCACTCAGGGAAGCGGGGCAGGTTGTTCTCATCCAGCTCCACACACAGAGGCTTAGACTCATTTCCCGAGAAGGTGCAGTGGGAAAAGTCATATGTAGTACCTGTGGACACAGAACCAGGAGGTCAATGAGGCCCCTCTGGAGAAACAAGGACCATGGCAGGCCAGGGGATGTGGGATCAGAATCACTTGATGCCTTGGATACAATCGTCAGAAACCCATGCCCACCAGACAGCTTCCTGAGCAGCCACTGGGAAATCAGGATTTCATAAAGATTAAGATCAAAGGAAGAAGGTGTCCTAGTTAACTTCAGTTGTCAACTTGACACAGCCTAGAGTCATCTGAGGGAGTCTCATTAGAGGGGTTGCCAAGATCAGTATGGCCATGTCTATGAGAGATGATCTTAATTGATGATGGACGTGGGAGGGCCCAGCCCACTGTGGGAAGTGCCGTCTCTAGGCAGCTGGAAGGAGGGTAGAGGTACAACCTAGGACGTATTAGAAGGCTAGCTAAGAATTATCCAGAGAGACAGCTAGCAAGCAGCACTCCTCTGTGGGTCCTGCCTCCAGGTTCCCGCCTCAAGTCCCTGCCCTGACTTCCCTCGGTGATGAATCATGAGCTGGAAGTGTTGCCTTTGGTCAGCATGTCTTACCACAGCAACAGAAACTAGAACAAGGAGTGTGGCCTTGTTCTGTGCTGCAAGAAGCATCCAACCTCTTCAGTCAGTCTGAAGATTCAACCTGCACAAAGCCCCAAAAGGAAGTAGGCAAGATGCAAGGGGGGCAGAATCGGAATTGGATCACCCAGAAACCATCTCGGAAAGAACAGAAGGGTGAGTGACAGCTGTGTGAGCAAATGGGTGGGGACAGGTGCCCAGAGCAGTGGCAGCAGCACACTCCAAGGCCCTGTGGTCATAAGACAGAGGGTTGGGAGAGGAAACTGAGCAGCACAGCATTGCCGGATCTCTGTGCTTATAGCGGAAGTCACGGGCACTGTTAGAGGATTGTGACAGAGAGCAATTCTTTACCAAAGGACTGCTGTGGCTGCAGCACACAGCTAAAAGATCCAGGGGACCCAAGGAGAGCGTGAGTAGATGCCAGAGCACTGGCGATAAGAACGCTCTACATGGGGTTGCTGTGGGATTGTGAAAATCAACTAAGCCGGCCGAGCGCCAGCATCTAGGAGCAGTGTCAGGGAAGGTGCTGGGGTTAATCTTGATTGCCAGTTTGATGGGATTTGGAGTCACCTAGGAGATGTGACTCTGGGCATGTCCATGAAGGTGTTTCCAGAGATTTCAACCCTCAGTATGGGCAGTTCCTTCCCATGGGCTGAGGAAGAGAGCTGAACATCAGCAGTCCTCTCTCTCTCTCTCTCTCTCTCTCTCTCTCTCTCTCTCTCTCTCTCTCTCTCCTTCCTATGAATGTGATGAGACAAGCCCCCTCTCTCTCCTACCACCATGCCTTCCCAGCCATAATGGATTGACTGTGCACCCTTGAACTGTAAATCAAGACAACTCTTTTCTTCCTTACCTGGTTTCTGTTGAGTATTTTGTCACAGCAAGTGACAGCAACATAGGTCTGTCAAGGACATCAGAGGTCTGACATACTAGGGACAGGGGATATGGCTCAGTGGTGGAATATTTCCCTAGCTAGCATAAGGCCCCGTTTGGTCCCCAGCACAGGGGTGGAGTATCACAAAAAGGCTCTGATGTACACCACTGTGACCTTGGTGGGAAAAGCCCAGCAGGGCTCTTAGAGGAAGCCCAGGTCTGCAAGGGAGGTGGGGACCTTTTATTTGAGCTAGCCAATATGGGTCTGTGTGAGTTCAGAAAAGGCCACAGAGACAGAGTCTCTGGCTCTGAGGAGGGCACCCAGCCAGAGCCCCTGTTCTCAGCCCTGACAGCTGGGCTGTGTGGGAAGATGGTGCTGTGCCAGGTGGCCCCTGAAAGAACCCAGAGGATGAAATATGCACACAGCACACATGCCTGCCCTGGCCTAAGTGTTGCTCCTCTGTAGGACCCAACCCACCAGCACAAGGAGCTCTCCTTGAGACCAAGTGCATCACGGTGCCAACTGGAGGGTCCCAAGGGCCTTTCCACCCCTGCATGCATGGAAAACTCCTGTTTCTCAGAGTTGGAAGAGGCTTCAGCTGAGAGGCAGAGAGTACAGGAGGGAAAATCAGAGGAGCTGAGAAATGCCACCAGCCAGGCCCAGCCCTGGCTCGTGGAGACAGTCAGTCAGCGTAGTTCATGCTGGCAGGATGGGAGACAAGTCAGAGCTACTGTCAACATCATGAAACCCCTCCTCACAGTCCGCCCAGAACACAAAGTTGTGTATGCCCCGTACCTGACTTTTACAGCCTGAGTATGGGCACAACAGAGCTACCATGTCACCATCAGCCTTACTCCACGGCCTGCTGGAGAGTGGGCTAATGATGGAAGAACCTTCAACCAAAGGCACTAAGGTCCATCTTCTACAGGCTTGTTAGGAATAAATGGGAATCTGGACATTGTGACATATAGGGAGGTACAGTCGACAACATTCCTGTCTGAACCATCAAGGACTGTCCCACTCTACCCTGCTAACTGAGATATGTCATGATTTTTAAAAACTTGAGCATGTGGCTCAGTTGGTAGAGTGCTTGCCTAGCATGCATGAAGCCCTGGGTTCAACCCCCAGCATCACAATAACCAGGCATGGTGGCACATGCCTATAATTTCAGCAGGGGTGGGAGGATCAGGAATTCAAGGTCATCCTTGACTACATAGGAAATTCAAGGCCAGCCTGGGCTAGAGACCTCGTCTCAGAAATACTGATAAAGAAATAAAAAGACATAAAGATTGAACTGAGAACAAGGTAAGATCTTATTTAGGAGCAAAGAAAGGAGGTGAAAGGATCAGGGACGGGTCCAGGATGCCAGCACCATCACCGCCAGCTCCTCTGCTGCCCACACAGAGCCAGGCTTACCGTCCACGTCACTGGGCACCTGGCCAAACATGGCCAGGTAGGGCTCATAGATGACAGAGCGGAAGATCCACCTCCAGCGCTGCTCGTTCTGCCTAAGGATCCCCTGCCTGGCCACGCCGAAGGCCACCATCCACACAGCAAAGAGAAACAGGAAGAAGAACACGTCGATCAGCTGCCGAGGGAGGAGATCAGAACAGTTAGAACTATGCCCGCGGAGGCTGGCTACAAAGCCTGGCCGTTCCCAGGCAGCCACAGAGACCGGCAGAGAGAAGTTCAAGGACCCAGAGAGTTTAAGTCACCGAGCTGCCTGGCCATGTCTTTATTTATCTCATACTGACTGATTGACTTAGCTAAGACCCTGGTCCATGCCAGGCAAGTACCCTACCACTGAGCTACATTCCCAGCCCTTAGCCACTAATTTAAAAATAGAATATCACCTTTAGGTTTGCAGATGTCTCCAGAATGAAACCCAAACCCTGCAGTATTGCTTGCTGAGCTCCAAAAGCTCAGACACAGCAGCTTTGTGAGGGAGGGTCCAGCTCAAAAACCTCCGCCTGGGACGAGCTGGCTCCAGCCACATCCAGCAATGCTTGCATTCTTTCAACCCCCAAATTATTTTTACGGAATTACTTTTTCAGAAAACAAAAGCAGCCCTTGTGAGACAAGAACAATTTACTTTTTTTTTCCTGCTGTGTTTTGCACACACAGCTTGACATCATGGTGACTGGATGCCTGAGAGGTGCTTGGAGTTAGAACCACACACTCAGCCTCAGCATTGGAAAGGGAAGTCCACATGAGCTCATCCAGTGACCCATCTGATTTCCAGACAGAACCAGCCCCGGGGAGCAACAGCCCAGCCTGCCTTGTTCTCATGGTGTGTGTGTAGCACAAACCTGGTGGGGGGGGCCTTTCTCCCACAGTGGTATAACAGGGTGTGGGATTTAGGACCCCATCATCTGTAGGCATCTGGCTTACCATTTGTCTCTAGAGAAACGCGTTCACCTCCTTGAACTAGAACAAGCCCATCTATTAAAAATGGCATAAAAGGCCCTCCCTGCATATACTCTGAGAGAGCTGTTCAGACCCAAATGCAAGATGCTACAAAGTATGAACTCTCAGGAAACCCCAGTGACTTGCCGACACTGTTGGGTCTTTATAGTCCTCTTTCCTAAAATCTCCCCTGGAGGTGGCCTCTGGTAAAAACAGTAAAACCAAACCAAACAAACAAACAAGAAAACCCACAAGCTATGCCGTGAACAAAATCCTCCCATCAGCCGTGGACTCTGAGCAGAGCAAGAGGAGGACACCTGCTGAGGTTGCTGGCTCCTACCATTCGCTGTAGCATTATAATCTTGGGTCCTAAGTTCCGGCTAACGGTAAAAATGTGGATGAGCCTTAGGATGAATATAATGTAATCCAGACAGAAAATGACTCGCCCGGAGTACAAGGAGCTGGTGTTAGAAGAGTGGAGCCTGCGGAGAGAAAAAGAGAACGTGTGGGACACGACCCAACATTTCACAGTTCACCACGGTGTGTGTGTGCGCGTGCGTGCATCCTGGTGTGCACAGCAGGTATCCCACTCTGTGGTGTCTGTCTTGAGGTTTGAGACAGGGTATCACACTGAACCTGGAGCTCACCGATTCAGCCAGTGAGTTCCCACACCTGCCTATCTTGCCCCAGCCTGGGTTCGGGTTACAGATGGGAACTGTCATCCTCAGTTTTGACACGGGTTCTGTGGGTCTGAACACAGTCCTCACACTTGAATGGTGGGCACTTTTCTGACTGAGCCGTCTCCCCAGCTCAGTTTAGCCTTTGGTCATCATTTGAGATTTAGTTGTCTTCTCACACGCCCTGGCTGTGAGGTTGGACGGGTGACTGCGGGGCCAGCATGCTGGCCAAAGTCACATGCACCTTAAATTAAGTGGGCCAAAATGGATCAACATTGGAAGACACTCAACAGCCCCAGAACCTTCTCCTTGGATTCTAATTATGCCCCCCAAAGTCTATTTGAAAAACAAAAAGGGAAATTGTGAAGAACCCAGGGTGGGGAGGAAGGAGTAATTTATGTTGGTCAAGTTGTGTCTCCACAGGGCTGGGGCAATGGCCTCTTGTGGCCCATCCATGGACTTGAGATGTCCAAGATTTTTTTCTCCATCTTTTGTGCCCAAACGCCTGAAGGTAGGAAGGTGGAAGAAGCTGCTTACCGGAAAACGATACCCGCTATGAAGTAGAAGATCCCCAGAGTGTCCATAACGTTCCACAGGTCGGTAAAATAATTCACTCCACTCATGTACCACTGTGACAAGAAAGGGGCAGACAAAGAATGGGTGGCTTGGACACCAGTCCTGCAGACTTGGAAACTCAGCTCCTCCCAGGGCACTTTCTAGATATCTGTGTCAAGTGAGCCCTACCTACCAGAACCCCATTGTCCCCAGGGCACCGGAAAGATAGCCGCTCCCTTACACATGTGCAGCTCTCAGAGTCGAGAGAAGGGGCTGTGTTCTCCCGTTCTCTCGAAATGAAGCCACAGAGAACGACAGTGATCTGTGTGGGGAAACATGAAATAGCCGGGTAACCGTGGACAGCAGTGTAGACTGCGCACTGCACAATTACCAACTGTGGTCCTGACTGCCGTGACCACAGATGAGTGTGTCTACTGTAAAAAATATCATAGAACACACATAGTAGGACAACTTGATTAGTGAAACCTTTTTAAAATATGTACAGGGAGGAAAGATTACTAATTGGACTCCACAGACTAGGTTTGAAGACCTCTAGCCTAGCTGTGCAGCCCTTCCATTTGCCTACCTGTTCAGAATCTGGCTACTAGGAGCCCAAGGGCCAGATCCTGGGACAGCTCAAAACAGGGGGCAGTGGATTCAACAAGGTGTGGTACTGATTCCCATAAAAGACGGATGTTCGTGACTTCCCATGAACTCACCCACCCAAGTCTCTCTGGATCTCGGATATCCTATATCCTACTGTATCCCAGACCCCAAGACCGAGACAAGGTGGCTAAGGTGCCCATCTTGGGAGTAGTGGGCTTCTCAGATCCTTCACTATCCTGCACTCGGGAATGCAGAGGGAGGCAGGGCACACAGCGTGAGTGGGCAAAGGAGGAGAGCATCCTTTGCCAGATCACGATGGAATGGTGAACTCCCCCAGGTCTGGGTAGCCTGGGTCAGACCGTGTTCCACCATGGCTCCCCACTGGTTCAAAGGTTAGGACCCTGGGAAGGACACAGGAGCATCCATTTATCTGTGCAGTGCTGATCCCCAGGGCACCAGCAGCCATTTGCTACTCCATGCCTGCTAAGATGAGAGGGGTTGGCACAGGCCCTGCCCACCTGCTCTCCTTTTCCTCCCTGCTGGGAGTCTGATGCATTCTGATCCTTAGTAACCCAGCCCATCCTCACCTGAAGGACTCGCCTGACCTGTATTACAGGAAGAATAGACGAACCCTGGGCCACTAGACTACCACTACAGGGAGAAAAGATTTCGGATTTTAAATGAAAAGAAGCTCTTGTCTAAGGGGGAAAGTGCAAGGCTAAGCTGTGTTCATGAAACGCCAGGATGTGTTCATCCATCGTCTTCTTTCACCGTGATGGCCCAGGAACTAAAGGAACTTTTGGAGAAGGCGGGGTGGAACTTACCACATTTTAAACCAACATTCACTGCATCTGCTTAGCTCTGCTAGGAGTGAGTTAGCTGGGTTTGCACTGTTGACTGTCTAGGTTAGAAATCCCCAGTTAGCTGTGAGCATCCTTCCCTGGGCAAGGGACATCACCTGTCACCAGAGAGCACTGGGTTTCTGAGCCCCAGGTACAATTTAAAACAGACAATGTCCTGTTTAGGGGTTTCCCCTAACAACCGTGAATCTTGTCTGGTAAAACTGCACAGGCCTACTGAGTTTTTCCTTGGAAGAAACTAAACCCAGTTTAGGAATCTAAAGAGAAGGTTCTGCAGAAATGAAGGGAAACAGCGCCCTCTAGTGACATATTCCTGAAGGACAAAACTTCAGTGCAGCAGCTCTGTTTTATCAGTCTTTCCAAGAAAAGGCCACCAGGGTTTCTCTGCTCAAAAGGGAGTGAGGACAGGGTCCTTCTGTCTATCTTCTCATCCCTGGCTTCAGTAGCCATGACCATGGTGACCCTCAGGAGTGGCTTATGAGCACCCTGCTTGTACCTTCCTGTATTAACACAACATTCTCAGCTTCAGGTATGCACAGCAAATGGAAGTCTAAAGTAGATCACCCCTGCTTGATGCTGTTCTGAGGACCACCAAAGCATGTGTCAGGACCTGGGGAGCTCAGAGGACTCCCTGATAGGGTCAGTACAAGAGAAGGCAATGTGATCTATGTTTCTGCTTCTCTCAGGAGTTTCTTCAGTAGGAAATGCACCCAAAGAAAGGAAAAAAACCAAATTACTACACATCACTTACTGCCTATTTGCAACTCCAGCTGGGTTTTTCCTCTCTCTCCCCTCCCCTTTCCTTCGCTACCCCTCCTCTTCCCTCCCCACCCAGTCCTCATGACTTAATCCCCTATTGGCTGAGTCCACTGACCCTCTAACCCAGGCAGTTCTTCTCTGAATGCTGAGTGTCCCCTCACTCTGATTATCACACAGAATACTTCAGCCCCATCTGCTAGTGACTCATCATAAGCCAGAAAGAGGATTGGGGAGTAAAGACTGGCCGCAGAGACAGAGGCTATACGGAAGTGCTGTGGGCTGAGTTATACCTCCAGACTGAAGTCCTCAACCCTCTACCTGGGAACATGACCTTGTTTGGAAATCAGGTCACTGCAGATGGAACTGGACAGGTCAAGATGGAGTCCTGATCCAACATGACTGTTGTCCCCAGGAAGTGGAGAAATTAGGACACACCTGCACATAGGGAGGGCACCATATGGACCTGAAGCCAGGGGTCAAAGTGTCACATCCAAGGGGCACAGAATGGCAGAGATGGCCAGAAAACTTCCAGGAGCCAGGGATAGAACAGAATGGTTTCCTTCCTAGAACTAAATGGGGCCAGCCCAGCCTACACCCTCCTCCTGGTCTTCAGCCCTCCAGAACTGTAGGCAGTCCACTATTAATTACTCAAGCCATCTTCTGTGTCTTGGGGCTTTCTCCCTCCACCTCCACTGACACCCCACCACCTTCCACACCGCTTACCTACTAATCAAGAAGACAGGTACACATGGGCACCGGTGTCAGGACCCCTCCCAGCCCCCACATCCATAATCACTAATCATATCCATGCTGAGAGCAGACAAACAAGTCCTCAGCATCCCTCACGACCCAGGAGCCCTGAAGACTGCACATAAAGATCCATCGGAGAGAGCTGTCATGACAACTTAAGCCAACTTCGTGTTCTTAGACTAGTCGGGGCCCTACAAGGGCATGAGCAGCATTGCTGCCCTTTCAAATCTCTTCCACCACCAGGCCTTTGTAAACTGTAAATAGCCCGTAAGTTGTGTACCTAGCACATACTTGCTAAATGGTGTGTATTTTAAGGTTCGGGTCCAGAAGAGACAACAAAATGACAGCAGAATCTGAAAGGACTTCCTGAGACCGGTTTTCATCATGGGTCAGAACGGTGCCATCTTCACCATCCACATGAATTTCTTCAACGTCTACTACCTCAGTAAGTACCTGCTCCATAAGGCCTGGGGTAGAGTGTGCATTCAATGACAGAGCAAGGATCCCCGAACCTGCACATTTCAAGAAACTACACACAAGGACCAGAAAGAACCCACAGGGATTATTACAAGACTTGATGTGCTAGGAATTAGGGTGCTCTAGATGGACAGGCCCCCAGATCCCATTGCTTGGCAAGCTGTCCCTGGTGATGGTGATGGTGGGTGTACAGAAGGCTTCCGATGCTGGAGGAGTTTAGTCCAAGGTCTCTCAACTTCTTCCTCTGTCCTAGGTTATTTCTGTTGCTCTGATACAAATACTCTAACCAAAAGCAACTTGGAGAAGAAAGGATTGGTTTGACCTCTCCTTCCAGGTCACACTCCATTGCTGAGTGAAACTAGAGCAGGAACATAGGGGAACATCGCTTGTTCACAAGCTCATGCCCAATTGGCTTTCTTATACAGCCCAGGACCACCTGCCTAGGGATGGTGCTGCCCACAGTGGGCTGGGACCTCTCCATCAATTAGCTATCAAGACAACCCCCCCCCCAGACATATTCTCCTGCCAATCTTATCTAGATGACTCCTCAGTGGAGCTTCTCTTCTCATGACTGCAGGCTGTGTCAAGCTGGCAATTAAAGCTAAGGCAGGCATCCTCCTTGGCTAAGCCAGGCCTGTCAGTTAACATTAGTTAGGGAACATGGCATGAATTTAATGCTAAGAGATCTCACTGGGGTACCTACAATTTGAAAATCACCTTCAGGTCCATAGACCGGGTAGGAATCTACTTGCAGCATAATGACTGCATTTGTACTTCACAAACAGCTCCAATTGCTCTTGGTGTCGGGAAGCTGCTACCCACTGCCCGCACCTTGGGGAAGTGCCCAGTGTTATGGAAACATCCTCTCCTCCAAATTGAAACATTCTCTCTTGGTGTGGCAAGGAGGCTCAGAGGACTCGGAAAGTTACAGGACTCACAGGCGCCTCCCCAAGGTTATATGTAACAAGTTACAGTTGCTGGGCAGGAGACTCTGGTGGAGCAATTTGTCCCCAGATTAGGCTTTGAGTTCCTGAGATGCAGCTGTCACGTGTCTGGGTGGACTTTTGATGACGTGGCTGCCTTCGAGTCACCCACTCTCTTGTCAGTTACCCCGATAAGGTCACGGGTTCCGTAAACTAGACTCATGTGGAATCATCTCTCTGGTGTGTGGTCAGTGCCTCGTCTGGCCTGAACAGATGTTTATTCACTCTCCCTGGGAAGAGCGACGCAACTCTTGCCTACCTGTCTCACTTCATCACAAAAGAGGACGAAGACCAGGGCGTAGAGGATGAGCTCGGGGGTGTGTGGCACCGAGTGGAAGTCCATGAGCAGCACGTAGGCAAACAGCAGGAGGAAGGCGATGTAGAAGACCACGTTCCAGGAGAAGACCACGAAGGGCGACGTGAAGAAGGCCACATAGTACCAGAGCAGCTTCTTGTGCTTGTCAATGGGCTTCTTCCTGGAGCAAGCAGGCAAGACAGAGTCACCAGCCACACACACTCACACACACTGATACACACCCACACAGTCACACATACACACTCATACATTCATACACACTGATACAGTCACACACAATCACTCACACATGCACAAACATACATACTTACATACACAGATACACGTGCACACTCACACGTACTCAAACAGACATACACACATGTACAGGCACGTGCGTGCACGCACACACACACACACACACACACACACACACACACACAGAGGAAGGGCTATGGCTTACTTCCTACCACAGACAATGAATAGACAGGGCAAAATTAGATCCTAAAGCTGACCCAGCCAAAACACAACCCTTGTTTTTTTTGTTTTTGTTTTTTGGGTTGTTTGTTTGGTTGGTTGGTTGGGGGTTTGTTGTTGTTGTTGTTGTTGTTGTTTGTAATCAGAGAATCCAAATTCAGCCTCAGGTACTGAAGACAACCTCAGGCCCACCTGCTTGAAATCCAACCCAGAGAAAGCCAGGAAGATGTCAGACTAAGCATACAGATGCCACAATGGATGTTCTAAGTTCTAAGCTTACAACCACTTACACAGATGCTCAAACACACACACCACATGGATGCTCACACACATGATTAGATGCCCCAGTCCACACCTAAATGATACAAGGCCACAGCCCACCAGGGGGATGACAAATAGACACAGGATGATCTTCCAGTTCTTTGTGTCTCGGGAAATCTCTCCATACCATTGCTTAGAAAGAAAATTCTAGAAGGAAACAGAGATAGAAAACACAGTCCTTGTTGATATAAGTATACAGGGAACAGGACACAGCCATTCTTCCCAGCCCTGCACACCCCCGAAATATTTAACCTCTACATTAATGTCTTTAATTTTTCAGATGTTGTCTGGATTCTAAGGCATAAAGAAGCAACTTAAAATTCTGTTTGATTTTCAAGTCTTTTTTTCTAAGTTCAATTCAATGAGCTTTAAAAAAGAGAGTGGCGTGACTGAAAATTCACTAAACCTATGAATTTTTAACTACTATACTTCTTATTTGTGTAAGCTTAAACAAGTATGGGTCTTCGGTGATGCTAAGTTCAAAGGCAGGGCCAATGCAGTCTGTGGAGTCCCCAGGGGTTCCTGGGTGGAAGCAGACAGATGTTTTCATTCTGAAGCTAAAAGGAAACCAGGGAAGGAGTGGCTGATAAAGTCAACATGGAATGCACGTGGACCCTCCCCTTATTCACTGTGCCAGCCCCTGAAGATGGGGGCAGGAAGGGCTTCCCTGACGTGGAAACTGGAAACATCATATTGCCACCAAAAGATAGACAGGGACAGGGGACCTGACCACATCAAAGAAACCCACAGCTGTAAAGCAAAGCAATCGAGCCAGGCAGGACTTGGCATGTAAGAGGGCAGGGCGAGGGAAAGCTGGGGCCCACTCATTGCCACTAAGAGGGTTGGGACTGGTGAGCTCTGGACTTAGCCCTGTACCTGCTCTTCTACTGGGTGGAGGACAAGTGCTTCTCTTGTGTGCCCTGCATGTCCTCTTGGGGCTACTCCACAGATATGTGCTTGACTGAGGAGGGGCAAGATAGACCCCGGAAAGATCACCCAGCAAGCAGCATATTGAGACACCCTGGGACCTGCAGCAGGCTCTACAGGGGACCCAAAGGCTCCCAAGAGCTCCAAGGGCCACCTTCCTTCCTAACACAGCATGTCTGCTTCTTCCTTCCCCAACTCACTGCCTGCTAATCACTTCCAGCTCACCTCTAGAGCTGGACTAAAAGCCTTGTCTGGGGTCTGTTTGCCTGCCACCTGGTATAATGCAAATAGGAAGCAATCCACAGAGGATTAAATCCCAGCTCTACTACCTCCTAGCAAGCAAGCATGGGAAATATTCCAGAACCTCTCCAAGCCCTGAATCCTCAAAATAAAATGAATTACATACACCTCCACAAGCAAGGTGCCGATGAAACACATAACAAGCAACGGCCCTTCCCTCTCTCCCTACCTGGCGAGATCTACAATCAGGCGCAGTTCAGCTGCTGCCTGATTAACCTGCCTCAGGACCAGTTTCATCCATCTCGTGATTTCTCCATCACTCACCGTGACGGCAGTGGTAGCGGCCGACCCAGCTAACCTTCCCTTTCACACAGAATTTTGTGGCATCACCATAGCAACCCTCTGACAACCACAGTGCTGCTGTTTGAATAAGAAAATCCCTCACAGGCTCATGGGCTTAAACACCTCGCCCCCAGCTGGTGATGCTGTGGTGGGGGAGATTCTTGGGTCTGACTGGTGAAAGTGGACCACTGAGGGTGGGCCTTGTAGAGTTATAGCCTAAGCCGGGTCCCACACCCACTCTTTGCTTCCCAGTCCACCAGGACTGAAGTGTCACCACCGTGAACTCTGCTGCATGGGTTGAAACTATGAGCCCAGACAGGTCTCTCCTTGTTTAAGTCGTCTCTGCAATTACTTTGTCACAGAAAAATACCTAACATGCACAACTCTGCCCATTTCACAGATAAAAACTGAGGTCCATCATCTCACATCTGCTTTAATGGACCAAGGCCTAGATGGGGGACCCAGAGACAGTTCATCATTGTAATTTTGCTTTGTGGAATCCCAAAGAATTCTTTCTCCTTGCCATTTGTCTCATTTCTGTGGCTGTGATAGAAATCACCTGACAAAAAGCACAGTTTTTATCTTAGAGACAGGCTTTATCTTAGCTCACAGTCCAACGTCACAGTTCATCATTTCAGGGACATTAAGGTAGGAGCTTGAGGCACAATCATATCCACAATCAAAAGCAGAGAGAAATTAATGTGTACTTCATATTCAGCTAGTCTTCTCTACTCTTCTACAGTCCAGGATCCAAACCTAGGAAACAATACCGCCCATAGTGGGCCAGGTCTTCCCACATCAGCCAAGCAATCAAGGCAACCCGCCACAGATACATCCACTGGCCAACCTGATCTAGACAATCCCTTCCTGAGACGCTTTCTGGGTGATTCTCCAGTATGTCAAGTTGACAACTGAAGCTAGGCATCACACTGTGACTTGGGTCTTAGATATTTTCTGAAGGTCCATCCCTAAAGGCATAGTTTCCAGTGTGACCCTTGGGAAGGTGGTACAATCTTTAAGAGGATGGGACCGAAGGGAAGATCTTAGTCCATTGGGGGATCTTCAAAGGGACTTTGGTTCCTCCTCTCCCCCACTCCCCTTTGCTTCTTAGCTGCCATGAGGTGCTCTGGCCATAACGCCCTGCCTCATCATGTACCGAGAAGCAATGAGCACAACCAACGATGAGCTAAAACCTCTAGACACTGTGAGCCAAAACAAACCTCTCCTCTTTTTAAGACAATTACCTCAGGCATTTTGCTACAGTGGTGGAAAGTTGACTGACACACTCCTGTACCATCTTTGAGGTGAGGCTTTTCACAAAAGCAAATGTGTCACCATCCTTCATTGTCACCCAGACACTCCCTCAATGGTCTTTACACAGGATGAGAAAAGTATACTATCAATGTCATTTTCTTATTGCTACTGGTAGTGTGTGATGTCGGGCCCACTCCTGGGTACACTTTTCAGGGTCTGGCTCTTGCTTACCTGGACCCCAGGCTGAGCGATGAAATGCTGGTCTGTAGCCTCCACCGCCAGCTCCAGACAGTTGCTCCCACCCCAGGCTTCACAGGAGTAGACCAGTAGCTGCTCTGCCAAGTCTTCGTCACTGCTGTAACACTCAGTGAACAACTCTGCATCATCATGGAGGGGAGGGCTGGGCTCAGCTGGTAGACATGGAGCCTAGCCTGCCTACCCCTGTCAAAACCTGAGCAGATGGGGCATGAGGATCCAGGCATAGAGAAAGCTGTCCAAATGTGACCTTTACTGCAGAGATGCTTTCTTTAGACACAACTAGTCGTCAGGGCTCTTTAATGCAGAGGGTATTGATACATGCTTATGGAATCTCAAGTCTGCCTTCAACACCTAGGGAGTGCCCTCTCTGGCGGGATTCTGTCCGGACACAGGCAGAAGGGCCTTGCTCTCTGGGAAGGACTCAGGATCCTCTACCCCTCCTTACCTAAAGCAGTCCCTCCCCCTCCCAAGCCTTCTGAGGGAGATATCTTGGCAAACGCTAGGGGACACTCACCCACTGCTCGGGTCTCATACTCATTGGCCAGTTCCTCTGATTCTCCAGCAGCATTGATGTCATTCTTGACTTTAGCCAGGGTCTTCAGAAGCTTGCTGGCCCCCAAGGCTGCCAGAGTACAGCCTTTGGTCTTTTGGAGGGGGGCGGGGATGGGGAAATGTTGGTTAATTCATAATCTCTTGAAGCAGTAACATGGACATTAACTTTTGAAAAGTATAGACAAGCAGGAAATGGCAAAGTCAACTACTCATTGTGATTCAAAGTCAGGTCTGTAATGTGCTTGGGACAGACTTGGACCTCAGCAAACTATTCCTGGTCTTGTAGGTGGAATCAGCACATAAAAAGAAAATCCCTGGATAAATATTGGGAGACATTATGTCTCTGACGGCAGGAAGCCTGGCTAACCCATCATCTCAATGTTATCATGCTGGAACAGCCAGGATACAGGGAGAGTGAATGAGAACACTGAAGACCTGAGCCATGTAAGCAAAGGCTGTGTCTGAATTCAGCAGTCAAGGGCTGAAGTACAGACAGAAGGACAGGTGTCCATATTTATAGAAATAGTGACGTACCAAACCATAAGAAAATTCTCAATAACTACTTCAAAGCAGAATTTTTTATAGGTCCTACCTCCTGGTTCATAATGGAATATAGCTAGAGATCATTGTTTTTATTTTAATCTTATTATTACTTAGTACTGGGGATCAAACCTAAGGCCTTGTGCATGTGAGGTAAGGGCTTACAAATTAATTTCTTAAGTTAAATTTCAAACCTTCTTATACTTGGAAAAAATGCACAGTCACCTGGGGAGTAGGAATGTACTGGAGGACCCCTACCTGACTCCTTTCTGGAGACCACCCATCCTAGGCACACCTCCAAGGACATGCAACCAGAGGCATAGCCATGGACCTGTGCACCAGAATCCCCAAATTCTAAAGTAGGCATATGAGTGTAGGTTAGACCAGACTCCTATAACACAGCATGAATTTGGCACCAGTTTAGTGTGGGCCTGGGCATTTACCTGCTCCCAGATGACCTTGGAGAGTTCCTTTTTGTTCTGAAGGATGGCCCAGATGAAGAGAGCTTGCAGGGGATGCCGGGTGGTGAGAGATGCATCCTGAGGGGGGTCAGAACATCGGGTCACCATATGCAAATGTAACCCACTTTAGGTCCACTATTCTAACACTGAAATGGGATGGTCAGAAAGATGAGAAACAGGCCCTCTGTTTGGAGACCTCTAGGGCTTAGGGCTGAGTCTGTTTTAGCAACATGGTGGTGTGATTCTCATTGTTCACTGCAGATCAGCAGGTGGTGTGATTTGACACAAAATCTTTCATCAAGCATAAAAGACAAAGTACTACTGTATGAGACAGTATGAAGGGGAAAATGCGCTGAGAGCAATTTAAAGACTAAATGACTTTGGATACGCCATGGAGAAAGCAATTCTCCATTCTATAGATCAGTTTCTCACCTAGAGGAAAAACGTGGTCAGATTAAATCTAACTTTCCTGTGGCTTACATCCAATTGTCACCGCATAAAATGTGCTTACTTCTTCGGACTGTTATTCGAAGATTGGAAGTCTGGCTCATATTTAAGATTCTGTATCTTCGAAGGAATGTTTTCAGATGGAAAGTGGCTGTGTGTGTCCCCCTTCAGCTCCCCTGTTGACTTGACTAAACTCTAAACTGTACATACGAGGCCCAGTTATATGCTGTGTTTCAAAAATTTTAATATAAATAATGTCAATCAGAAGATCTACACTTTCAATCCAACCACACACTGAACTCATTCACACACACACACACACACACACACACACACACACACACACACTTAAAAATCTCAGAGTTACAAATGATAATGATCTAATTGAGGTTTCCCCAGCAGCAATCCTGAGGTAAGAATTTGAGGAAAGTGTTCTAGAGAGTGAAGAAATGAAGTCAGAAAAGAAAGAGACCAATAGAAGGCTCATCACCAAGCAGGCTGCCATGAAGTTCACTTCACTGTGCCCCTGAATCATCTCCTCTAGATGGGGGGGCCGTTGGGGCATTTAGTAGCCCTGGACTCTGGTCAGAGCAAATGCTGGTAATAATTGCTGATGCTGTTGAGTGGAACTGGACCTGCCCATACTCAAAAAGGAATCGCGGGGCATTCACATCTGCTCTGATGGAAATATCCGCTACTCCATTTATTCATAGAACTACTGGCAGTCCTTCATTCTTTCACCTGGGCAGCAGCGAGCTATTTTTGTAAACAGGCTGAAACACGAGCAGGAAGCCATCTGTTTGTCCCTGTTACCATCAAATAGCCTTAGAAAGTGTGTCACATGAGTCTTGTGATCTAGAAATGATGTAACTAAACAGAGCCAGGGGCTAGAGCAAGACATCAGAAAACTTACCAGTGACTTTATTCTTTAAAAAAGATGGTAGAGAAAATGCATGTCACCCTTCTAGCTGCTCTATGGCAATCAGGAAGAGAACAGGAAAGGTGGAGGCAGAGAACTGAATTCTGGAAACAGAAATATGGGAGCAGAAAACTGAATCCAAACAGACAGCTCCAGCGTTACGTACATGGAGTTCTACATCCAGGTCCTCCCTGCTGTTCCTATCTTCCTTCCAGAAGCTTCTACGGAAGTTTGCCACCAGCTTCCAGACAAAGGTGAGGAGTGCGTCGTTGTAGGAGTTCTTGGCGATCTGCAGATTGCGGTACACCAGGGTACTGAAGTGGCTGGAGAAGAGCTCTGTGAGGACATCATTGGTGAGAAACTTCTTCAGGTTCAGGCCATTTTCCAGGAAGAGGCGGACAAACTTGGGCCTGTCCTTTATGAGGGCCGTGAACATGACTTCCTGAAGGTCAGCCGACTGAAGGGAAAGAGTGGGAGAGAGTGCAAACCATAAGACCAATAAAGTCCTAACGGCTCCAGCTTCCCTCTCTATCCCACTTTGACAATAAATTCATCTTTTCAGCATCCTGGTGGGAAAACAGCAAAGTGGAACCTTTGAATGTGACCTGGGTTCGTTCTTACGTGGAGAGAGCATGCCCACTTAAGCATGAGGCAGATCTCTGTGAGTTCGAGGCTAGCCTGGTCTACAAAGTGAGTTCCAGGACAGCCAGGGCTACACAGAGAAACCCTGTCTCAAAAAAAAAAAAAAGGAAGAAAGAAAGGGAAAAAGGAAGGAAGGAGGGAAAGAAGAAAGGAAGAAGGAAGGAAGGAAGGAGAAAAAGAGAAACATTCCGGCAATTTACACCGCTAGCAAGTTTCTGGGTTATATTGTCACAAGTCCTAGGACCACACTGAGAACCACTTGCATATGGGAAAGGAAAGGTTTGCAGACAGACATACATCTGTTTCCAAACCTTGATCCTACCATTCTCTAGTTCAAAGCATTGGAACAAGATTTTAAGTGGATACTAGTATAGAGCTTAGAAGGAGCCAGTGTTCTGGGTCCTTTAGAAACATCATCTAATTTAATCAGTGTAACACACGAGGAAGGGACTCCAGTAATTCCCTTCATTTTGGGGAGAGCCTGACAGATATTTAACAATAGCTGTCCGAGAGAACAGAGACTGTGATGTAGTGTCTGCTGATCTTCATGGTGTGCATACTTCTGCCATGGTGACTTTTCAGCTCCTACTGTGACACGGGTGAATGCAGAACTGGGAATAGACACAGAGGGTCACACCACCACATAACAGTACATGGCAGGAACAGAAGTAACCTGGAACACAATTCCTAAGTGCAGCAAAATAACTAGAAAGTCATGGGGAGGGAGCGTTGTATGCGTGTGGGGTGTATGTGTGTGTATGTGTGTGTGTGTGTGTGTGTGTGTGTGTGTGTGTGTGTGTGTGTGTGTGTGTGTGTGTATGTGCAAGACACCACATCTCTTCATCTATTCCTTGCTTCCTTATTGTCCTGAGTCTTGACCTCTTTCTAAACATGAAGCTGTCTCTTCAGCTAGCTTGTCTAGCCAGAGAGCTCTTGCGATCCATCAGTCTCCATCCCTTCATGCTGGCATTACAGACACACACAGCCATGCCCAGATTTTTATGTGACTGCTGATGATTCGAACTCAGGGCTTCATGCTTGCAGAGTGAATGTTCTAACCCAGTGAGCTATCTCCACAGCCCACAAAGTCATTCACTTTGATTATTTCTTACCTTTGATTTTCATAAGATTTTTTCAAATTATAAATTTACATAATTTGATTTTTAATAATGACTATATTCAACAACCAACGCCCCCCCCAAAAAAAATCTCTGGAAAATTTAGCAGCTAGTTTTTGCAAGCCAGGATGAGTTGGCTCCAGCAAGGCACTCTAAAAGGGAACTGACCCAGTGCACAGTTGAGAACCTTGCCCAAGGACGCACTGACCGCTACTCCAGCACTCAGACTTCACCACTATGCCCTTCATCCTAACCACCTCCAGCTGAGTTAACAAAATTAAATGGACAACATGAATACACATCCAAGTTTGTTTATTTACCACCTGACCTTATTTAAACAATGTACACAGAGGGATTCACTTATGAATCAATTCATTAACGCACATACAGCTCTACTCGCTTTCCATTCACGAAAGCCTTGTGATGTGTAATAGGTTCATTATGGTGCAAAGCCCAAACACAGACAATGTTTGCTAAAGGGATGAATAACTCAAGAATTCATGAGCCATTACTGTTTTTACTACTCTCATTAAAATTGATCATATGTTAATGTAAATCAAATCCTGGTCTTTGATGACACAGTGGTATGTATGAGGGCGTTTTCTAAAGCTAACTGCTGAAGATGGAAGTTGAGTTATGTAAGCCTTCAAATCCATCCATACACACATAAAATCAAATGTAACCTCACTGCCCATAATGACTTCAATTAATGGAGAATAGCTGGACACAAAGATGCACGCTTGTAAATCTCTGTTTGATGGTTTAATTCTTCCTTCTGAACAGAGCCTCCAAGGCTGATTGAACTTTAGATGCATGCAAGTGGTCTCCCATAAATGGGACCTTAAACACTTATCAAACTGAAAAAATATAGAAAAATGATCTGCTGGGACATTACAGATTTTAACTACACATGCAACTTCCATATTGGAGGTATTCATTTGGCTCACTCTAAGACACTGGTGGGAGTGTCTTCAGCAAAGTATTCCACCTTCCCCTCATACCTCCCCATCCCTGACAAATCTCTTAGCAGAATTTGGCTGGGTGGGGAGGTAGCCAAACAATGCTGCTGTCTTGATATTTTTAGTCAAGCCAGATCAATAATCCCACATCTCTAGTCCCCATACCTCCACCCATCCATTCCTGAGAGCAGACTCATAGCTCCATACCAGATGATCTCTCATCTCCTGGAAACAGGATTACATGTTTAGGATAGCTTACGTGGGAGTCTTTGGCTATATTATCTGTTTGCAAGAAATCTACCAAGTCAACATCATTATCCCACCCTACAATCAAGGGAAGGGAGGCTGGACACCACTGATATGCTAGAACTAAACAATCAATCAGTCACGGTATTCTAGACTGATGACCTTGTTGGATCCGACCACCTGCTGTTGAGACCATTGTCCAGGCTAACCCAGGAATAACCTGAGGCTTCTGTTACCTCCCATCGTCGGTCGTTGGTGAAGATCTCATCACTGGCAAGGTCCAATTGGTTCCACTCCAGCAGAAGTTTCAGTTGCCCGTTCCAGTTGTCCTTGTCTTGCTCATTAGTGCTGAAGGCTGGAAGTGGGCAGGAAGAAAACCATAGATCAACAGGCCATGCATAAGGAAGCCAGGCTATTAATATCCTCCAAATATCAGGGCCACTCATCAAAGCAGGTCTCTTGGGATCAGAGGACACTGTCATCTCCTTCTGTTGTCACTCATGCATTGCGTATGTCCTGAAGTCTATAATGATCAACCCAGATCTTAATATCTTCCTGTTACATATGAATATAGTGTAACTAGGATATATTGACATTTCTCTGTAGATTGAGGCTCCATACGTATTATATTCCAAATGTTGTATCGGACTTATCCTATATCTAAATCTACAACATAATTAGCCACGTTAAAACAATGTATTTGTTATGGTTTGAGTGTAAAATGTTCCCCCATAGGCTCCTGTGCTTAAATGCCTAGTCTCTAGCTACTGGCACTGTGCTGAGAGGCTGTGGAGCCTCTAGGAGTCAGGGCTTAGCTTGAGGAAGTGGGCCAAAGGGAGACATATCTTAGAGGTCCAACTTCCAACCTAATCTCTTTCTTCCCCTTCTCTCCCTACTCTTTTTCTTTCTATCTATCTATCTATCTATCTATCTATCTATCTATCTATCTATCTATCTATCTTTCTTTCTATCATCTTCTATCTATCTATGTATCTATCTATCTATCTATCTTCTGTCTCTCTATCTTCTATCTATCTTCTATCTATCTCTCCTATCTATCTATCTATCTATCTATCTATCTATCTATCTACCTATCTTCTCTGTATACTTTGCATTTGTTGGTTAAGTATTTCAATCCAGAAGGCAAGGTTTTGCTATTTATTATAGGTAATCCCACTTTGGTGGGATTTTTTTTTTGAAATAGGGTCTCACTATGTAGCTCTGGCTTTCCTGGAAGCTGGACCTATGGTTCTATGTAGACCATGCTGGCCTCAAACTCATAGAAATCTACCCGCTTCTGCCTTCCAGATGCTGGGATTAAAGGCGTCCACCATCATGCCTCTCTCACTTTGATGGAATTCTAAGAGACAGCAAAGACTAAAGAGAATTGTTTTTCCTAGAGGTCAGTCATAAGCTTCAGGAGATGTGTGAACTCCTGAAGTTGAATGCTAAGTTATTTGTGGTGTGTGTGTGTGTGTGTGTGTGTGTGTGTGTGTGTGTTACATGAGCATGTGTGCATGTGAAACATGTGGGAACACACTCCTGGAGGTACAGGCTTTACAACATTTTTAAAGGGGTCTGAGACTCCAAAAGTACTTTAAATCACTGCGAGAAACAGCTTTGCAGAGTACCTTGGTTACACTTGACCAGCCTTTTAGTGACATAAAACTTTTATTCAGTGAAATACATCCATCTAAGGAAGTTCACCTTCTATAGCACTCATTTTGTCCTCCAAGGATGTACTCTCAAGGAACTGACTCCACTCACCTTTGTACAGCGCATAGGAAATGGCATTGCTCACAATCTCGTCTCCAGCCTCTTCCATCTTAATAACTGTGAGTAGGTGGGAACACTCAAGAATTTCTTTGAGCTGGTAATATGTCAGGAAGAATATTGTCAACCAAATGATCTTGATCATGATGAATATGAACTTTTTAATGTATGTATTATTTCATATATACATGTCCAAACAATATACTTTGATCCTAACCCCCTATTACCCTCTCTCCCTCTCTTATTCTCTACCCCTCCCTCTAAACCCTTCCTTCCTCCCAACAGGCCTCCCTTCTTCTACTTTGAAATCTCTCTCTCTCTCGTCCTATAAATAAATGAATGAAGAAGAGGCAGCAGAAGCCTGTGGAAATCTAAGTGCGGTCGGTCATAAAGTCTGAAACAGAGGAAGGAATAGTTTAGTGACAAACAAGAATCAAGAGGACTTGGTGCTAGAGAGATTAATAACTTACATTATCCTTTTTGAGAGACAAGTACATTATCCATTATGATTTTTCTGTGTTTAAATTTGAAACAGATTCTTTAAAAAAGCATCTAATTCCAAGGCTCCAGGTACTGGCAAGAATGAACTTTTACCCAAAGGAACTTCTCCTTCTACGGGATGATCAGGCCTGCTTTGGTTAGCTTCAGTTTTAGATGATAGTGATTTCCCTAGCAAAATTTAGACCTGGACCTTCTGTGTCTCTGCTGGGAAAGAGCCAGGGGTCTCGGAGCCTTGCTGCAGGAAGGATGAAAAAGATGTGGACTGAGAAAATTCTTGGGCCTGGCTATTAGGAGGTGAACTTTCAAGGCCTCTGTTCCTTGGGAAGGATGATGATGAAGATTTGGGTTCAGAAGATGTGTACCCAGTGGTGATGGGACAGATAAACTGGAGTTCAACAAAATACAAATCATGAGGATTTTTAGGGAGAGGAACAGATGAGCACAGCAGGAAAGACCCTTCACCATGTTTTGTTCAAGCCACAGGAAAGGAGTCCAGAGAGAAATGATCAGTGAGGAGGCAGATCTAGGGCCCAGGGTTGTGGAGCACATGTGAAGTGGGCAGTTCCATGGGGGTAAGACATCTTCGGTTTTGTAATGAAAAGGGAAGAAAAGAGAACAAGCATGGATACAGAGCACAGCACCAGACCTAGAGAGGGTTCCAAAGACTTCCTAACTGTATTCCCTCCCACACACCTTATCTCCTCCCATCCTGAGCCTGGCTGTAACCAGTGTGAGTTCCTGAATGTAAACCAGATCTCCTTTTCTCCCTGCTTCTGGCTCCCAATGCTATCTCACGACAGCTGATCAAGACCCAAACTTGAGAACAGTGCTCAGAGAGCCGCCTGTTCTGGACTCTCATAAGCACTTCAGCTTCCGCTCACAAACGCATCCCCTCTGCCATCACTCAGTTCTTCAAATGTATTAGCTTCTCACCTCAGGACCCTTGCACATGCCGTTCCCACCATTGTGATGCCCATCCTCACCTCACTCACTCTCCATCATTCAGATACTGCTTCCCACATCACTTCATCTGTGAGCCTTCCACAAAGCCCCACACCATAACACACCTGTCTCTATACATGCTGCCTTTCTTCAGAATACCCTGTGATGGTTAACAATGGTTGTCCGCTTGACCGAATGTAGAACCACCTAGAAAACAAAACTCCAGGCATGTCTATAAGGAACTGTTTAGACTGGGTTGAGGTGAGAAGATCCAGCCTAAATGTGGGTGGTACCATTCCATGAGCTGGGGTCCAGGGCTGGATAAAAGGAAAATGAGAGCTGAGCATTGGCATTCATCTCTCTCTCTCTCTCTCTCTCTCTCTCTCTCTCTCTCTCTCTCTTTCTCTCTCTCTCTCTCTTTCTCTCTCTCTCTCTCTGTTTTTGATTATAGAGGCTGCTGCAAGCCACAGGAAAACATAATGGAATTCAGCTACTATCACAAAAGCTACTACTTGGAAAAGTCAAGGACTTCTCCAAAGGTCAAGCCATGGCTTAAGAAGTCTTGGTGATATTTTAGCTTTTGTATAGATATTAGCTGGTTCCTACAATGATTTTCTTGTAATGCTATGCATGCTTCCTAGATCTCCTAACAGTGGATTTATCTAAAATACCTATCAAGAATCCAAGGCCAAATGAAACAACATCTGTTTCCTAGGCCACGGGGATAGCTTTATTTCTTGTGCTATTTAGGGTGAGACCCTCCTTTCTTATACAGTCTTACTAATAGACACCTAACCACTTCTAGGAATGTAGACTGAGCACATAGATCCCCTTTTTGATATACTAACCAGTCATTAGCACTCAGTTGACTTCCTCTTTTACCACCCCCATTTTGGGTTGTAAAAGAAAGCCTGATGGTCACTGCCTGAGGAAAATTCTTACCTACCTTTATGACCCTGTAAGAATTCAAATCTGGTGACCTTGCTCTGCCAGAGGATCATTATGGCTTGGGTTTATAACTGAACACCTCAGAGACTGGGGGAACTGAGGTGTAAGGAGAACAAAGAGAGGATATTGAGGATTTTGGCTGGAGAGGATTTTTAACTAGAGAACTGGAGGTCAGGATGGAAGATGAGGAAGATCCAGAGGGGAAAGTTCTACATGGGTAAGAACGAGGTGAGAAGGACCTAGGTGAGGCAGAACTAAGATCAGAGAATTAAGATAGAACTTACAAGGGACAACAGATAAAGGTAGAGACAAACCAGGCAAGTAAGGAACTAGGCTTGAGTACAAAACTGTAGCTGTGTAGATAGGATTTTACCCCAGAGGAATAAAGTAGACAGACAAGGAGCTTGGTGTATCTAGATTTATTCCTGCCCTGAATGCCTGGTGGAGCTGTAGCTGTAAAGATAGAATTTTGTCTTAGCGGAATAAAGTTAACAGACATAAGAACATAGTGTACATAGATTTTTTCCCCCTCAGATATCCTATGCCAGACGTAGCATATTTTCCAGACTCTGGGCAATCCATAAGAGGCACAGCGACCAGCTGTCCCATGCTCTAGCCACCATGTTTTCCCCGCCATGATAGACTGTAGCCCCTAGAACCGTGAGCTAAACCAGACCCTTCCTTCTTCTAAGTTACTCCCTGCCAGGCATTTGTGCACAGCACTGAGAACAGTAACTAATGCACACCTACTTCAGTTTGAAATAATAGAGCAATTTCTTTAATAACTTCACATGAAGTCTTTTTTAACTTATGCTCCCCGTGTGAGGCCATAGACTGTTTCTGATGTACACACAATTCTTGGTGTGACCAAACTAAATCTAGCATATGACATACACACAATAAGAACCAACCTGATGAACAGAAGACGGAATAGCTTTAGATGTTTGAATGAATGGTATATGGCAAGGCTAATATTCAGATACTATGGAAAGTCAGGATCTTGACGGGCTGGGAGTAGCTGTGTGGCATCACTGTGCGGGAGCTGTTGGGCAAGCTCCCAAGGGCAGAAGGAGAGGGAATTTTTTGGAGAGATGGAGAAAGGATGAGTTTAGCTTTGGTGGTCAGCCATCCGCATGACCAGTGAGGTCACTCAAGACTACACTGGAAGGCTACTTATATATTTCACTGATTTACATATTTATTAATTAATAATCCTACTCTCAAGTTTGGTCCTTTGGGAAATCTGTACCAATTTCACAGTTCCATATGAATACATAGCTAAAATGCCAGAGTAATTTCCATTTTTATGTATGTCTTCTGGTTGACATGATTAGAAATAAATATATTTAATCAGATGTGAATATGAATTAGATATGAATCACAGAAATGATAATATAATCAAAGGCAGCAAAATTAGCCTGACATTTAGCTTAAGATGAATTGTTTCTGATAGTTTTCTTGAAGTAGAAATCCAAATCAATCATAAAGAATAGAGGACCATTAGGACCATTCTGGGTTTTGATTGTGACATGAACCAGACTCCAGGTGTCAACTTGTAGAAGGGTTGAAAAAGAAATCCACTGGAATGGACCCAGGTCTGTGTTAGGTAGACAAACTAATAGTTCTCTACTCCTTCCTCTCTGCGTATCCTTGTATTGGCCACTGATTATTTCCACCCACCGCAGGAAATGGAGAGTCGATAAGTGTGCAATACCTATGACTAAGGTTGGTCTGGTCCCTGTTAGAATTAACTAAAGCTATCTAAGTATGCAATATTTCCACTTTGGAGAGTGAGCACCCTCCACTGTGGATTTTCATGTGGAAATAATACCAAGGGCTGAGTCACCTGGCCACTCTCTACCACTTCCCTGTCTCCCCGTAGACAGTGAGTTTGACCTTCCCTAGCCGGATCTTTGATGATTATTCTCACTGGTATCTGGTACTCGCAGAACATGATACTCCAGTGTAAGGAGGCCAGCGTTTGTCTCATACTGACTGTGATGTGTGAGCTCATCCAGTGCACTCTGGGACTCAGCATAGGAAGGATGCCAACGGCGGGATGCCTCTCAGCCTCTTCGTTCAACTTTGCCTTCACCTCCCATACTTTCCTTTTTTTTTTTTTTTTTTTTGGTTTTTCGAGACAGGGTTTCTCTGTGTAGCTTTGCGCCTTTCCTGGGACTCACTTGGTAGCCCAGGCTGGCCTCGAACTCACAGAGATCCGCCTGGCTCTGCCTCCCGAGTGCTGGGATTAAAGGTGTGCGCCACCACCGCCCGGCACCTTCCATACTTTTCAATCTTCATCTCTATTCTCCTGATTCTTGTGGTAGACTTGGACATGATGAAAAAAAAATCGCTGCAAGGACTTTCCTACAAAGCCACCAGTTTTACCTTTTGGTGTAAAAATCTAAAAATTGCAGTATCTCAGTAGGGAGATCACACAAGCCATCGCTAGTCAAGGCCTGGCCCACACAGGTGCTTTCCCTCAGCTGTGGAGGTGAAAGTCAACCATATTTCTAGGCTCCAAATTTTAGACAATGGGACTTAATCTAGAAAGGACTTGTTTTCTGACCATTTTGGATCCCACCATTCCATTAGGCGTATGAGCTAGCCACCCTCTCAGGTAAGATTAAAGGAGGCCACTAAGGCCCCACTCTGTGGGAATTAGTAACGAGTGCCCAGCAACTCAGGCAGCAGGGCTGACTTGTGTCAGCTCACAGTCAGTATTTGGCCTATCCAGGACTGCAGTAAGTAATATTGTAAGCAAAAAAGAAAAATGATCTTCTATGTTGAAGACTAAAGTTTGCTGCATGTGATATCTTGAGGGCTTCTACAAATACTAAATACTACCAGAACTGCTATCTAATTTTTAAAAATCTTATTATTATCCTTTATACTAAACCCAGCTTTCCACTGACTCCATGATGAAAATAACCCTTGTGCTCTAAGTCTGTTATTTCCTCCGGGAAAAAAAAAATTAAGTGGCAGAATATGCTCCTAAAAATACCCAAACACATGTGGCCATTTCTGAATGAGCTGGTAGGGATAAACCTGCTGACAGGAATGGAAGCTTTCTTGTGTGTTGAGCAGCCTGGATAAAGAGTTGTTACAAATGAACAGCAATCATGAAATAAAGAAAAGGAAGAATGTACAAAATTAATATGACCAAATGTTTTCATAAGACTATCAACCAGAAGCTGAAGTGTCCCTGTATGTCAGCCTTTCTCACAAGACTGCTAGGAAAGATGAGAGATTCCAAAGCAACCATAGTCAGAGCATAGCAGGGCACTTCTTCCACACTGATGACGTCAGCAGGTGTAGACTCTGGATAGAATCTGCATTTCTCAGATATCACTGCCAGAGACACCCTCCCTCCCTATCAGTGATGCATACCAAACCCAGAAGCACAAGTGTTGGCACTGTGGCACAAGAGAAAGACAAGCTTTGTGAAGGACTTGAACTTAAACCCCATGCCAAATCTCTTAAGAACAGATGGAGAGTCACGGAACTTATCTGAATTTCAATTTCCAGCAAGACACCTGGTAGAGATGTCCTCAAAGTTGTGGAGAAAAACCAAATACTTGCCATTGCTGGTAGAATCGATAACATGAGACATTCTCCCATCCCAGGAACCTGCCTTCCCCATACCCAGCCTCCAGCATCTTCCCCAAACTCACCCATTTGATCCAGCTCTCAATCTCCTCTTCGGGCAGCCGGGACACAGTGCGTGGTAAAAATCGCACCAGCTTCTCTTTGACCATGGAAGAGGTCAGAACATCTTCCTCCTCCACCAGGCTGGCAATCACATCGGCAATCTGCCCTGAGCCTTCCACCACCACACAGGGGATCTTACTTTTGATGGAGGTGTTGATGGCCTAGGGAGGGATAAAGAGTTGGACACATGGAAGGGGCTGCAGTGAGCAACACAATCCAGCTCAGGACCAAGGTTCTAAATCAAGGGGGTCCATAAGATGCTTTGACGCCTCTTACTGTCCTTCCCTCTGTGGCTTTTATTTCAAATCAAAATCAAACCAACCGCAGTGGCTTCATGAATGGGGTAAGTGAACCAGTTGTTTGACATCCTGAGAAAATGACAAATTCCATAAAAAGGGCATGCTGGTTCACCTTGGTCACAGTGGCTACACCTTCAACTACTAACACTGGCTGCTCTGGCCAGAGCCTGGGGGGAATTCTCCAGGCCCTAGCCTGGGGGGAATTCTGTTCCCCAGACAATGGCTCTGTTGTTGCCACTAAAGGTAGTTTTAACTAAATCTTTATCATTCTAATAAAACTTGAGATTCAAAGGCTAGGATGAAATCCTGTGAGCACAGAGAGTTACAATAACACCTGGCTAACTTTCTTTCTCAGCTGGTGACCCCCAGAAGCCTCTTTCCTTCCACAACGCCCCAACTAAAAAAAAAAAAAAAACCCCACTCTTTGTGCTCTCTCCTCCCTGCTACTTCCTGTTAGCCAGTTGCTAACCCCACCTCTCTGGGCCCAGGTTAATTTTATGTAATGAATGCAAATGCAACACATCTTTACATAGTTAAACAAGTGCAGCATAAACAAATGCAACATATCTTTGTCTAGTTAAACAGTCCACACCAAGGACACCTGTAATATTTACATCTTCCATACAGAAGTACTTTGAAAATAGCCTATATACAAAATTGTTCACTCCCAAAACTGGTGTGATACTTAAGTGACAACTCTGAAGATTTGATCCAACACAATTGTATTGACAACTTATCAAAAAGAAGCTATCAATGCCCTGAAAATACATTAAAAGCAGTTGGCCGTGTGTTCTATGTATTCTCCTCTTCACTTGTTGCAAGAAAGTGAAATAGACTTACTTGCTGGACAAACACCTCTCACACCAATGTTTTCTTTGCAAGAACTTCAGAAGGTGGGAGAGGGGACTCAGACTTTTATCACCTGACTTCAAGATCAAGGGGTTAGTCTACATATGGGCACAGAAAAATCCTGTAAGTCCCCTTCTTTAAGGCTTTCCCTAGAGAAGACACAGTCTATCGGGCCGAGAGCATGGAGCTATTGTAAGGTTTTGGTCCTTATTTACGTCCTTTAATTACGTCATCAGCCTTCGCCGGCTTCCCAGCCTAAAAAGCGGTTGAGCCCTCTGTGGGCTCTCTCTCTGTCCCCTCTCCTTTGCGCTCCTTCCCCCCCCCCCCCCCGTCGGTCCCCCTCTCTCTCTCTCCCCCCTTCTCTCTCTCTCTCTCTCTCTCTCTCTCTCTCTCTCTCTCTGTCTTTCTTTGTCTCTCCCCCCCCCCCCCACAATAAAGCTCTAAAAAGGTAACCATGGCTAAGATTCTTTCAATCAGCACGCTCCTCCGCGGGCACGCTCCTCCGCGGGCATGGCCGCCGCGGGCGGTGACCAGCCACGAGGGGCAGCTCGGCGACATAACCAACAATGGTGCCGTTCAGACTCGGATACACCACCGCACACCGAGGACCTGCTGACTGCTGCTGCTTGCCGCCTCTTCCCCCATCCAGCGAGACCGCGAGACCGCGAGCGCGCGCGCGTCCCTCGCCGCCTCCGCTGGACCCCCACACCGCCACCGCCATGATTCTTCACCACAGTAAGTCCGCTGTTCTCGTGCGGTTGTAGTCTGAGCTATATTATTTGCGACGGACACCCTGGGGGTGTCCTCGAGCTGCACCAGCACCGGCACATTTCCGTTTCTGACGAGAAAGTAAATGCTGTCTTGGTCTACCGGGTGGATCAACTGCGGCGCAGCTCCAGCCCTTCACATCCCTTGACGAAGAGGATGGTGAACTTGAGCTGATTCATGGATCTCTCTCCACTCTTTGGGGACGCCCAAGATTGTAGCCTGATCCCGGTTTGTTATTTTAATTTTTTATTTTTTTTCTCTCGGCTACACCCATGCGACAAAAGGGCGGATATATTGGTGGATAGGGGCGGGCACTGGCAAACCTGGTCTCATAACAGTGTAAATCTGGCCGCATAACAGAGTCGCGGGAACTTCTGCCAGAGAACGGGCAAATAAGAGTCACTTTATCTCCAAGCTTTCTGCTAAAGTTCTGAAACCCTACTCCTTCCCCACTTCTGCGTCTCCACGTGCAACCTTTTCTGTCTGACTTCCGCTGGAGGTGGGAGGGCTCAAGTGGGCGGGCTTGGGCGGCTTCTAGGACTCGCCCTAACTCACCTGAACTCCACCCACTCATTCTCAAACTGCCTTGAGAAGCACAGACGGGTCTAAAAGCGGCTAAGATCCATACAAATAAGTTTACAGTAGTCAGGATGGCTCTTAAGCCAAAAAAACAGCTTATAGCCTCAGACAAGTCTTCCAAAAAGGATCGGTTTATAGTCTGCCTACTGGCAGATCTTCCAAAAGCTGTCCTTAAGCCATCAATCAGCAGGAAAAAAAAAAAAAAATTCAGGACATAGAGTAAAATCCGTCTCTTGTTCCCCAGACCTCCCCGACTAAAACTTAAGCATATGCAGAGCAAGGCTCCTGACCCCACAGGCAAAAGAGTCATCTGTGGCATTTAAGGTGTGCCAGGGAAGAGATAAAAGCCCGAAAACAAAATTGCCAAGTGCTGGCACTCGCTGACTCCCAAAAGCTGTTGGGTCCCTGTTTTAAGTGAGAAAAAGGCCACGGGCTAGAGAATGCCCTGCCAGGCCATCGACAGCCTTGTTAAAAGTGCTACCTAGAAAGACAGAGTCAGCTGACTGCCCCCAGGCACCAAGATGCATGGGTACATCAAGCTAAGACCTTCAGCAGACCTAGGCTTGGCTACAGACATGGCAGGGAACCCAGAACGCAGCAGGGAAGCGATCTGTTTCTTTCCTTCTGGACACCAAAGCCACTGACTCAGTCCTGGGAGTTTTGGGATGCCACCTCTCCTTTATTGTCGGGTACAGAGGACAGCCTTACCACCTCGCCTGATTTAATTGCACTTTCAGAGTTACTTAATAAAAAAAGATTTCCACCTAAAATAAGAGCTCATTGCTTCATTCCAGATCCACTGCCTGTGTTTCTCATGTGCATACAGACAGGGCCCTGGTCTTTGCCTTGTCCCTAATTCCAAAAAAAAAAAAAAAAAATTTCTCATGTACCATAAGCTTTTCTCTTCCCAGTTTCCTGTTCTAACTCACTGTTCAGCTAATGGTACAGGACCACCACAGAACCGGAGACCAGAGATCATCAAATAAAAAACTGTAGCAGCTAAAAGGTATTTACACCCCCAGACCCAAAAGCGTCTGGGCGCTACAAAAAGACTTTAATGTAAACATCTATTACTATGAGATGCTTTTAACAATTGATCACCTGTCTCCTAGATGCTGAACCAGTAAAGGAAACAGGTACTTTAAAATAATCTGTCTCTGATAAAGCTTAACATGTTTCAAAATCCATAGGGACAGGCCAGATCTACCTCAGATAAATGTCAACATAAAATAATAATGATTCTTTTCTCCCTCTAAGTTTTTTCTGTGTCACCAGCATCTTGTCAAACAGAAAGTTCCCAGCCACAGCCAAGAGGGATACATGTCTCCAGAGCAAACGGATGACAGACAGCATCCCACAACGCCTGTCTACCTCGGAAGACTCCCCTTCTCCATTCCCCCAAGAGCCAACCAACGTCCAAAAGTCAGCTGGAAGCAGTTTTTGAGAGGAACGACGCCCCTAATCCCATCTACCTGCTTTTTTTTATAATAAGGGAAAGTCTGGGATGTAAGGTTTTGGTCCTTATTTACGTCCTTTAATTACGTCATCAGCCTTCGCCGGCTTCCCAGCCTAAAAAGCGGTTGAGCCCTCTGTGGGCTCTCTCTCTGTCCCCTCTCCTTTGCGCTCCTTCCCCCCCCCCCCCCCCCGTCGGTCCCCCTCTCTCTCTCTCCCCCCTTCTCTCTCTCTCTCTCTCTCTCTCTCTCTCTCTCTCTGTCTTTCTTTGTCTCTCCCCCCCCCCCACAATAAAGCTCTAAAAAGGTAACCATGGCTAAGATTCTTTCAATCAGCACGCTCCTCCGCGGGCACGCTCCTCCGCGGGCATGGCCGCCGCGGGCGGTGACCAGCCACGAGGGGCAGCTCGGCGGCATAACCAACAGCTATGATGAGTCTGAGACAGCAGGCTGGGTGTCCATCCACATGCCTAAGTGTTAGAGACCAACTCCGGACATCTGTGTCCTGGACTTTGTCAAGCCTTGACAAGAGGTTCCTGGCCTAATTGCAGGGTATATGACTAGATAAAAGCTTCCTGGCCTAACTGCAGGAGATGCGATTAGGTAAACTTTTGGAGCCTGTCAACTGCAGGGGGCCCGGGATCAAAGCCACCTCGCCCTGACCCCTCCCTTAGGAATTTTCTCTATCCCTGCTTCCCCTGCTCCCCCTCCCTGCCTGAAGCCCTGCTTATAAGCCTCAACACCCAGTCAATAAACGAGACCTTGACGCGACTCAGACTGACTTTGTCTTCCTTAATGCGCCTGGTCTCCTTTCTCTCTCACCCCCATTGATCTTTCAGGAGGTGCCTCCTCGGGTCTCCCGAATAACCTGGCCCGCGGGACGGGTCACCTCAGAGTCTACCCTCAAGATGTAAGTGTAAGGGCTGGATGGCAGCTAAAAGATGTGGGACTGAGGAGCCCAAGAAACATTAGTTCGATGTTAGTTAGCCTCCTGATCTCTCCTGGCCCTGCCTCCCAGGACTCAGTGAAAGATAAACAGCGCTGGTGGTGGCGCTGGTTACCACGTAGAAAGGTCACGGTCACGACAGAACCCAATCAGTATCCAGAGCTTATTAGGAGGGAAAAGGCGGGGGTGGGGGGAGAGAGGGGAGCCAGGCCTGGTGGGAGGGAGCAGAGCAAAGCAGGGAGCAGAGGGCAGAGGGCAGGGAGAGAGGGTGGGGGTTCGAGTCCGGCTTTTTAAGGCACAGATTGTGACCATACTGATGATGTAAGACGCAGCAGAATCCTAACATTGGGTACGAGCTGCACAGATCTTCGAAGACAGAGACCCCTTCCATTATGTTGCAGCAGGAAAGAAACATCTTGCCCTCCACTCTAGGACAAGAGATCTTCTTTCCAAATCTTAAGTTCCAGAGAAAGAATAGGCATGCAGCCATCTCCCAATTCGTCACTCTCCATCTCGCTTATCCACCATCTCTCTCCGCCTCTTTAATCTGACACCACTCCCTGTCTCCTGTTTATTTTTTCTCATTTCTTAGTTCTTGGAGAATTTCAGACAATACATTTTGATTATGGTCACTCCCTTCCTCCAGCTCCTCCCAGATCATTCCCTCCCTGTTTCTCTAGCCAACCAACATGTGGGCAGCAAAGGCCCTACAAGACACCACGGGCTAATAAATAAAAAGTCCAGGCACAGGAATGGGTTCCTTTTGGGGGAGCTGTGGGCCAGTGAGGTTCCATAGACCCCCAAACACTACAGGGTATTGTACTTGACCGTAAGAGCCTATTGCTAAAGACACCATCCGCATGACTTACAGAACATGGAGAAATCAAGCTAATACTGACCTGGAAGCCTCATCTTTGCTGACAAGCAGTCATGGTGCAGGAAAGTGCTCATCAGTCCTACCCAGCTGTGGGTCCCATGAGTGGTAATAGCAACTGGCCTGGCAAGTCATGCCACTGGGACAATAGCAGCATGAGTGTCACGGGGAAGACCAATCACTTTCTGATTGGAGTCAAGACCTACTCCACGAGATGAAACTCACATCCAGAATTGGCACTGGAGTCAGGAACCTGTGATGAGACACCCAAACCCTAGTGGAGAACCTATGACTGTCACCCTGCTAAACAGGCATGATATTAAACTGATTGCTAATGACTTATTGCTATAGCCATAGATTAGTGCATCCGTCAACCCTTATCGAAGAAGCTTCTTTTTGCAGTAGATGATGAGTCACACGGAGACCCACCCACAGCTGGGCAAAATGCAGAGAATGAGAGACTGCACAATGCTCGGCCCTAAGCGGGACATCTCTTTCACACCCCCTCTCTCCACCTCCTCTTTCTTTGGCTGCTTTTCAACATTTATCTGGTGATCATTTCACACTAAAAAAAAAAAAATGGCCAATTTTACTTGTTCCCTGAAATTTCTTTTAAAACTTTTTTCTTTGAAAGACTCTTGAATGGCTTTTTTTTTCCAACAGCAGCTCTCATAATATCTCATAAATATCTGTTGAAGGAATAAACTAAAAGCCACACCATTTAAAAAAAAAAAAGACAGTGAGTGTTCCTCTACAATTCCAGGACATTTTTGCCATCAAGGACTGGGAATTCCAGTGTGCTCTGGTCACTGGGCTAGAGCCAGTAACTGTGTGTAGATCTGCTTATTCTAACCCCAGTTTTAAACTAAAACCAGGAGGGGGGGGCATGGAAATAATTAAGAGAGAAGTTGGACATTATTTTCTTATAAGATCTTATTTCTATAACAACAACAACAAAAAAAAACAACCCTCAGAAGGCAACGTATCTAAACACTAACTACAATGCAGTCACACCAACGTTCATTTCTAGAGAGCCAGAGGCCTGGACTGGGCAGGTGCAACAGTAACATCAGAACCCATGATATGGTGGGAATGTGGAGTCTTGGCCAAGATAGTGAGTTTCACAGGTGCAGAGTCATCCAGGAGCTCACATCGGCAGCATCACTTAGATGTGAGATTCCTGCATGTGGAGTCCAGGATCCCGGAAGTTATTTCTGCCTTTCTGGATGCATCTCCCTAACTTTCTCAGCTGAGGAGCATCCTGTATCTAGTAAAGGACCAACACATGGTGAGAAAACATTTCCTACTTGCTTCAGGAAAGAACTTAGAATGTATAGAGGACAAAGTCAAGAAAGCTCATGAACATGGCTTTCAAGAATTTGGGACATCAAAAAGAACCAAGTCTGTGACTCTGTGGGAGAGAAGAAGGAGCTATGATTAAAACTCAAAACACAGAAAAGCCATCCATGGAAACTATAGCCAAAAAAAAAAAAAAAAAAAAAAAAAAATCCAACTAGGGAGAAGAAGGAACATCCAAACACAAGAAATGTTTTAAACCCTAAATACATATTGTCAGGCAAATTTGCCACAGCAAATTAGAGCTGAAATGCCAAGGCCACAAAGAAGCAATATCTAAAGTTATGGAGAAAGACACCAACTCACCAATACAATCCCCATTAGAGACACCAGATGACTTGGGAGAAACCCCAAGTCAGGAAAGTCAGGAATGGCAAACTTCAATCCCTGGAAGTTTAAAAAAAAAAAAAAAACCTGCCAAAAAGATTAGCATGTCTGAAAAAGTTACCTTTTAAAGCTGAAGAAGGGAGCTAGAGAGATGATTCTCTCTCCCCTGGTACCAAAATCAGAACAAAATGGACCAAAGACCTCAATACCCAACCTGGAACTTTGAACTGGCACAGCAGAACATGGGCAGAACATTTCGAGATATATACGTAGGCAAAGTCCCTGATGGAAAGGATTCCAGTGGGTGCAGAAACAGTAGCAAGGGTTGAGAAATAGAATTGCATGAAATTAACCAACTCCTCCATAACAAAAGGAAAGTTAACAGAGTCAAGAGACAGCTCACAGAACGGGAGAGAAATCTTTGCTATCAATGTAGCTGACATGATATCGATATCTAGAACCTATAAACTCAAATAGTTAAGCCCCAAAGCCCCAAATTGTACAGTCAGCAAATGAGCAACTGAATTCTGAAAGGGAAAAATCAGTAACCATCTTGAGAGACGCTTCCCCCTCCCCTCCTCCAAAGGTATTTGCTGACCAGCAGTTTTAGAAGTGACCAGAAGTTGCCGGGCGGTGGTGGCACACGCCTTTAATCCCAGCACTCGGGAGGCAGAGGCAGGCGGATCTCTGTGAGTTCGAGGCCAGCCTGGGCTACCAAGTGAGTTCCAGGAAAGGCGCAAAGCTACACAGAGAAACCCTGTCTTGAAAAAACAAAAAAAAACAAAAGAAGTGACCAGAAGTTGAACTTATAAGGCTGGGACAATAAATCTATGTATCCTGGACTTGGCAGAACAAGATATTGGGAGTACTGGGCTCAACTGACAAGAAACTGAACTTATAGGAGAACAGGACTGCAACAATAAATCTGAATGCATATATCCTGGGTTCAACAAAAGCAGGATACCTTTCAACAAAAGTAGATACCCTGAATCCTGCTAGCCATCAGTAACCTCATGCTTATAGTTCAGCCAGTAACTTCAAAGAACTGCCTCACCCCTAGCCCCCTCGTCCAATCCCAAGCTGCATGTAAACCTTCCTATATAAACCCCTTAAAGTGAGTGCTCAGGGGCGTCCTCCTCCACCTGCTGTGTCTGATGTTGGACGCACCAAGCCTGCTTGTTTTGTTATTAAAAACCTCTGTGTGCTTGTTGGATAATGGCTCTGTGGTAGTCTTGCGACCTGGGCACAACAAATTCAACAGATGGTCCTCAAAAGAAAAAATACAAATGGCAAAAAAAGAAAATATGTTTAACATCCTTAGCCATCAGGAAAACACAAATGAGAACCACCTTGAGAGCCCATCTCAGTGCTGTCAGACTGACCAGCATCAAGAAAGGAAGCGACCAAGCACCAGTGAAGGTGCCTAGGAAGAGCAATCCTTACACACTTCCGGTGGGGATTTAAATTAGTGAAGTCACTATAGGAATTTAAATTAGTGAAGTCACTACAGGAATAAGTACAAAGTACAATCAAACGCAGAACAACCATATGACTTAGCGCAGCTCTCATGAGTACACACCCAAAGGGACCAAGTCAGCAGGCACTAGAGACACCAGCACGGCCATGATCTCTAGGGTACTGTTCACAATAGCTAAGATATATAACCGGACGAGCCACCCAAGAGATGGAGGGATAAAGTATTAGATGTGTACACAGGGGAGTGTTGTTAGCCATAAAAAATGAAGCCTTGCCATTTGTAGAGAAATTGGTGGAACTGTGGATAATAATGTTGAAAGAGAAAAGACAAATTGTATTTCCTCTTGTATGCAGAATCTAGACTTACACACACACACACACACACACACACACACACACACACACACACACGGGAGAACGGACTGTGTGGGAGAAGGAAAGAAGAGACTGAAGAAGTGGGGAGGGGTCAGTTTACTGAACATGAGGAAAGTACAGGAATAGCCATGTGTGAACAGGCCACGTGAGACCCATTTTATACACTACCTGGAAATGTAGCTTTCAGTGATTAGACAAACCCAAAAGACTGGGCGGGGGAGGTTAGGGAGTGGGGGGAATGCAGCTGTTGGGTAAACCTTTTAGGAAACCAAGCCAGAACTCACTTTCAAAGTCTCTCTTCCACCTCCTTGAGCAAAACACACGATGGGGATCTTACCACCATAGTTGGAATCTGTAAAACAAGAGCAAAGTCTGTTTTGGATTCGGCCTTAAGGAGTGGGTGTGGCAGGAAGTGGGATGGGGCAGGAGATGGGAGGAGCATCTGAGAGCTCATGGAGTAGGTAATAACTGCTTGGGTGTGACCTTGACCCTGAGCTGATAGATCACAATGAAGGAGTCCCTGTACGCCAGACCGTCCTCAGGGTGGCATGAGTAGTACTGTCATCGGTCACTGCTTTTTAAAAAGCTAGGGTCGGTGCTTCAGTAACATTTGTGGGTTTGATTAGACTGGGTTGAAGTTGGCTCTTATTCTCTCCCTCATTTGTATAATCCCAGGTTTTCTTAAGTGGGTGATAAATTTGCATAATGAGGCATTTTCTCAATGGAGCTTAGTGCATCTATAAATAGCTTCTCTTAGTTGAAGGGAAAACAATTGAGACTATGTCCTGGGAGGCAGTCTATCACTAAACCACAGGACAACCTTGCTCCAAAGCAGGGCACCTCTCAGCATCCTGCCCACAGGAAAGGAAGACTGTGCAGCTTAGCAGATAAGGTCTTACACTCAGTTTCTGCAAAGCCAATGTTTTAGGTGATTCTATTCTGGTAGAGCACAGAAGGAGTCAAACTTCAAACATCAGCTAGCCTTCCAGTTGAGACATTAGTCGGGTGGCTTCTTAACAACCCTACTGCTGAGTCTCAAACCCAGGGCAAATGGCTGAGCTGCCTATTTAACATATCAACACTGACACTGGCTGCCAGGTTCTCCCAGCATCCCTCAGTCCCTACCCTACAGAGAATGGCTGGCATACCTGAACTCTCCAGCCCAGGGGCTGGGCTGGGCTACCATTCCCCCAGAGGCTCCTCCCTAGATAACCCAGACATTTTGGTTACCTTCCACATTTTGTACTTCTGCCCTCTTGACTGCTACACTCTGTTCCTCTCTCTCCCCTTCTGTCTCCCCTTCCTCTTCTACCTAAGGGCCCAGCTCAGTCTGGCCATGTCCACTCTGGACTCTCCCAGATGTCTCTGCCTCTGGCTACGCCCTCCCACATATCTATAATAAACCTCCTCCTCCATCATACCTAGGAGTGGTCACGTCCTTTTCCTTCCCTTTTATTCCTATTTTTTCATTCATCTACAACTGCATTGCTTCTTAAACACATATTTTTCCATTAGGAGCTTCACTTGTTCCAGACGCCTATAGAAAAAAAGCCAGCAGGCTTCCTAAATGAATGAATGCAAGAAGGTATCTGTCACTGCCTTCAGCACGCTGAAGGACATGTCACCCTGGCAGAGGCACTCCCAGGATGCTGAAGAAAGAGGAGAAATATAAGCTCCTCTTTAGCAGAGAAGACACTGAATCAGGAGGGCTCCCCCAGCTGTCACCACAACAGCCATGCATGGCTGGCCTCCCGGTTCCTAACTGCTGACCTTGACTGGTCCGCTCAGAGATGTACTTCTCCAGCTGATTCCGCAGCTTGGCTTCCACCGTGGGGTGTCCGTGACATCCATTGTCCACCAACAGCAAGTGGGTGTGATTGTTGTCTAGGATGTACAGAGGGTCTCTCTTGAAGTCATCCATGATATATTGAGCTGAGAAATAGCCCTGCAAAGCACAGGGACACTTGTCTTTGGGATGCAGGGTGACACTATCATGACCCTACTGAAGTTAGAGAACTTGTGTTTGTTATGTGTGTCCTCCTGCGACCGTTCTGACAAGGAAGACCAGTGTAAGTGGAAAAAAACACGGTGACGAACAGCCTAGGGTAGACGGAAAACCAAGGAGAGCTGTGCTGTCTTTTTCATACGCATATAATGCTCTCGTGACTCAAAAATAGAATACTGATCAAAGAATTTAAGCTAAGAAAATTCTCTGAAACAGATCTAAAGTGTAGTACAGTGTAAGTGTTTCAAACAGTTGTCTTTTCAGGTTGGCTGAGCCTCCATCCTGTTCCACCCATAGCGGTGAGAGAGAGAGCTATAGTGAGCCCTGTGAGCCTGCATCAGAAGATGTGGCCAACAAGATTATTATGATCACTTTCTTTCCTACAGAAGACCAAACACTGTCACCCAGGAAAATAATAGAGAAACCAGGAAGCTAGCCACAATATCACAAGAGTTTATGGCAAAACCATGATGTCACTGAAGATTGTCATCAGAAATAAAAAGCAAATAAAAACTAGCAGTATAATTTAAGCCTCTAAAAACTATGTCTTCTACAGAAATGAAGACTGTAGCATATAAATGAAAATGTAAATTATGCTTAATTCTAAGAGCCGTGGGTTGTCGTCATCAAGATGTTATGTGCAGTTAGTTATTTTCTATGCATATATCTGTGTGGTTCATAATTTCACACTTATAAGCATTTTAAACCGTGCTGTCAAAACATCCTCAGAAGTAGTATTTTCCTACTTCTATGATTATTCTTGATTTGTGTGGTAATATGTCTGGACTTCCCTCTTTAGCAATAAACATTACTAGATTATAATATCTAATAATAAATATCTAGTCACAAGTATTGCTGGATATCTAGATTTATATCAATTCTTGATTATTACAGAAATATTTTAATGAACATCTTTGCCCGAATATTAAATACTCTAGGGACAAGTTTATTAATGTAATTGTTGGACTTTCCTATAAACAGTTTTTACACTCCTGATACATGTCTAAACAGTGTTCTGGGAAGAACACAGACTTAACTCTTAGGTTCCTGTGCCCCTTCTTAGCCTTAAAAATGGTGACAGAGTCAAGAAAGTTAAACATATGTAGCTAGAGTTTTCCTGCCTGGCCCACAGTCAGGACAAATCTCTCTCACCTGCCAGTCCCACAGCCACTCAGACCCGACCAAGTAAACACAGAGACTTATATTGGTTACAAACTGTATGACCGTGGCAGGCTTCTTGTTAACTGTTCTTACAGCTTAAATTAATCCATTTCCATTAATCTATACCTTGCCACATGGCTTGTGGCTTACCGGCATCTTCACATGTTGTTTGTCATCGTGGCGGCTGGCAGTGTCTCTGACTCAGCCTTCCACTTCCCAGCTTTATTCTCCTCTTTGCCCTGCCTATACTTCCTGCCTAGCCAATGGCCAATCAGTGTTTTATTTATTGACCAATCAGCAACACATTTGCCATACAGAACATCCCACAACAAACATGTCTTCTTAAAACCACAGCCCTTAACATTTACTATCTAAATGTCTAGTGAGCCACAGATGGAATGAGGTGTGCACTGAATTTAGATTTCTGAACATCTAGCCCAAATCTGAGTAGGACTTGGGGAGTTTCTCACTGTTTCCAAATCGTCACACATATGACAGTGGATATCATATGTCTACAGTGCATTCTGGACATGATTGGAGGGAGGTCTGCTACCTTCTAAATCAGTTCTCAAGAAACATTTGGTGGTATGGGTCTCAAGGCCTTCTCCTTACTGGCTTAATGACAGAGAACAATAATGGATCTGAACTCTCAAGAATCTAGCACAGCAGTGCAGGATTGCACCCACAAGTGAACCCTTTTGAGATGGATTTGGATCACAAATTATAAAAACAATAGGCCCAAATCTAACATGAGCTTGCTGGGGACAGATGTTAATGACAAAATGCCTCCACTGTTAGCTTCTGCTTTGGAGTCCCTTAAGTATATCCCCTCCCCCTTGTTTTTTTGACTGCTGAGGTCCACAGGCTGTTCTCCTAAGCCTGGCTTTCCCACAATCTGGCTCCATCACAGAGCCCCAGCACTCAGGCCATAGCTATTAACCTGGTCTCTCTCCCACAGAACCTTGCAGACCTCCCTGCCCCACCGGTACCTCATCATTGCAGTTCCTGATGAGGGTGTCCCTGTTGGAGACCATGCCCCAGGCTGCTATACCAATGGCCACGATGTTCTCTTCTGAATTCCTGCTGATGGTGTTGTCTCTCACCACTTCGCCTATGTACTTCATCAGACCGTAATGAGTACCTCCTGTGAGAATCCAGGCACCTGTGGACGAGGGAGGGGGAGCTGAACATCGCCTGATGCTGAGTGAGGTTTTCGTCCTGTTTCCAGACTCCTAAGGAACCCTTCCGGCCACGAGCTCTAAGATTCTGTCTGCACTGAGAGCTGGGCTGTGGGGTGGGACCACACGGCAGACAAGAAGAGGGTCCCAGGTCATCAAGGGCTCCTGAGAGGCACGTACTAGAAAGCACAAGTTCTGGGCCCCGTTCTGCATATGCATCCTCAACCTCTGCAGAAGGTGGACTCGTGGGTCTCCAGGGGAATGCTTTCATGAACAGTGAATGCCTAGCCTGAGCCCATAAGAGAGCTGGCCAGTGCATCCAAAGATGGCAGTGTGCTCCCTCTCCAGACTTCATGCTGCTCAGAACAGAGTAGCCCTTCCTAGCCCCAGCAATTCTGCTTTGCTTCCCACAACTTTGCATATTTTTATTAAAGGTTTATAGCTGATGATCTTCTCAATGCCAAGCACGTTGCAGAGTTGTTTTGTTTTTTGTTTTGTTTTTTGTTTTTTGTGGGTTTTTGTGGGTTTTTTTGTTTTTGTCGAGACAGGGTTTCTCTGTGTAGCTTTGTGCCTTTCCTGGAACTCACTCTGTAGCCCAGGCTGGCCTCGAACTCACGGAGATCCGCTTGCCTCTGCCTCCTGAGTGCTGGGATTAAAGGCGTGCGCCACCACTGACGGGCCAGAGTTTTAATGCAAAATAAAAGAAATAAAAGATCTACAGGCTTGGGCTGTAGCTCAGAGATAGAGTGTTTTATTAGCACATGTCAGACCATGGGTTCAATCCCCAACACCAAACAACAACAGGAATATTATTTAGTACAATGGAAATGACTATACTGTGACTTGTTGCCTGGGCAGTCCCTGCTCTAAAAGCAGTCTCCATCTTGAAAACACTCTCCATCCTTAGGGCAATCCGCACCGTGAACACAGTCTCCATCCTTAGGGCAGTCCCCACTTGGAGGACACTCTCCATCCTTAGGGCGGTCCCCACTTGGAGGACACTCTCCATCCTTAGGGCGGTCCCCACTTGGAGGATACTCTCCATCCTTAGGGCAGTCCCCACTTGGAGGACACTCTCCATCCTTAGGGCGGTCCCCACTTGGAGGACACTCTCCATCCTTAGGGCGGTCCCCACTTGGAGGATACTCCCCATCTTTAGGGCGGTCCCCACTTGGAGGATACTCTCCATCCTTAGGGCAGTCCCCACTTGGAGGATACTCCCCATACTTAGGGCGGTCCCCACTTGGAGGATACTCCCCATCTTTAGGGCAGTCCCCACTTGGAGGATACTCCCCATCTTTTGGGCGGTCCCCACTTGGAGGATACTCTCCATCTTTAGAGCGGTCCCCTCATCTTCGGAGATGCATGCAGTGAATTTGGAGCTAACAGCCATGATGTCTGCAGTCTACTCTGAAATCATTTTGCCCCAAACCCTAGTACATGAATATTCATAAAACATTAGAAGACAAATGTAGGAAATACCAGCCATCAGTAAATCTAGAAGCATTCACATATGTTCATCATATTACTCTTGAAACATTTCTGTAATGCTTGAAAGTTTTAAATTAAAAAACATAAAAAGAGAGAACATACTAAGTTGAATACATGAAGTCAAAGCTACCATTATCTGGGTCATACAACTACACAGTCTTACAACCTATCCTGCAGCCTCTGCTTCCAAAAGTACATCAGTGATCTCCAAGATTAAAGAGAAATCTTATTAAAATGCTCTTTTTGATTTACTAGAATATTCTGACTAAAATTTTATATGTGTAAATAATGAAATAAAACTACTGGGAGATATTCTTTTTGTAATCAAGGTAACCTCCTTAATGCCAACTGAGAGTTACTCTGTAAATCTGCCAACCAGAACATCTTATCTTTCCACCTACCTGAGAATTTTATTTATAATAATAAAACAACTATATTTCCCCAGGCTGGAGAGATGGCTCAGCCATTATGAGTACATATTGCTCTTGTAGAGGACCAGGGTTCAATACCCAGTACCCAAAGTGAAGCTCACAACTGCCTGTATCTCCACCTCCAGCGCCCTCTTCTGGACTCTGCAGGTACTTGCACTCATGTGCACATACCCACAGAGATGCACATAGTTCTAGGAGCACCTGGATTCTGCAGGAAAGTGACATGTGGAAACTTTGTCCTTTGCACCCAAGATGCAGTGCGGACCAGGAATAATGATCCCTGGACATTCTCTCAGTGCCTGCGTACCTTTAGACTGTGCGATGTAAATCAGCCGGCTGAAGATCTTGCGCATGCGTGGCTTCAAAGCGAAGTTTTTGGCACCACCAGTCACTGAAATGACCAGGTTGGGTGTTTTGAGGTGCCAGTGCTGGGTCAGCAGTTCGTACAGGGTTTCGGAGTCTGTGTCGCAGGATAAGCGGATATACTGTGGGGGCAAGATAAAAGCGCCAGGTTTGTGTGCTCTGCCCTGGGGTGTTGGGTGGCTGCCTGCTCCTGGGGCATGGGACAGGGTGTCCTAGGCAAGGCTGCTACCAGGGCCTCTTCCACAAGCCAGACGGAGACCCTGAAACTCCACCTGGCCTTTGAGGTATTGAAAGCAGGGTAGGCAAGAGATGATGAAGGAGTCCTCAAACTGCCATCATGGCACACCTGGATGAGCCAAGGAGATGGGCAGCCTGGGGGGAAAGTCACTGACCCAGCATGAAGCAGAGCCCCAGACAGTGGGCGGAGCTGGATGTGCTCAGGGACCACTACGACAGAGCTTGTGGACGCATGGGATCAAGGTCCAGTCATCCAGCCTGTGGACTGAGCTATCACTGAAACAAAGCATGGGAATACGTGGGGAAGACGAGTTTCTAATGGAAAGATCCTTGTAAAACTCACAGATATAAAGAACTGTCACCTTAGTTGGAGCTACAGAATACCCTCAGGAATGCTATCCCAAACTAAAGGGACTACTCACCAAAGTATTCTCCTGCAACGACTGTTGGTAATTACCCATCCCCCCACCTCCATGCTCCTGGACAACTCAAGGCAACTAAGGCAGCCCAAGCTCTTAGCACATATATTAAAGCAGAAGGCGGGTGCTTACCTTGCCTTTCTTCCCCAGAGTCTCAAACTGAATGTCACCAAAGGCGTCTGTCGGAAACTCCTTGGTATGTTTCTTGTAGTTCCATTTCTCATTTTGGTTGATCTGGGTGCCTTCAATGTGCTGGCTCTGGGCATAGCCACACTTGCATATGCTCTCCCTGAGTCGGCCATGTTTGGGGGAAGCAACAGATTTCCATCTACTTAAATGGCTTGTCATATCTTAGGATAAATTATGCACTATAAACTTAAACCAACACAAGAAGAAATTCTATCACCGTCTCTTATTCCCAGACTAGTTCCCTCATCTCGGTTGATTGTCTAGAAACTAGACTGGTGTTTTGTTCCCATTGCTAATTATCTGTTTGCCAATGAGCTTGCCCTGTGCTGGGGGCAGAGAGGCAGAGAGCAGAGCCCTGCCCTCATGGAGCACATTAGGTATGTGAGAAGCCACAAAGCTGGTAAGAGGTGGAACTCAGGAATCTGGGAACCTTTTGCTCTGCATCTCACATGGTCTCAGCTAACTCACAGGAGCCCAGGAACATGCAGGCATTAGTGCTTTAGTGCCAACCTCACCAGATGCCCAGTAAGTCATGCTCTTCTGAGGAGAGGTAACTTCTTTCCATGAGCTGCACTCATGGGGGAGACATTGTCCCCTGGCACAGGCCCAAAGTTCTCCGAGCTTAGAAATCACCTTTCTCTACTAGATAGTAAGTGCTTAGATGACTTTGGGCTGATAATAGTTTGGCCTAGACAAGGAAAACTGCCATTGTGAGCATTAGCTCTTCCCATTGGGAGTGCAACAGAATTCAATATTAACTGTCCACTCAGGGACACATATGCATGACAGGAAACTGAAAGAGGAGAAAAAGACACACAGTAAGTAGTAAAGCCTATCCTCTCCTTCTACAATACTCTGTAATCATTCACCGAGAGCACTGCTTACGATAAAATAACATCTGCAGCAGCCCGAGCTGAGACCGATGTGATTTCCTGCCCTCAAGTTGCTCTGTGTCCCCTGGAGTGGCTAAGCACAAGTCTGGCAAAGAACATGGAGGATCCAACCAAATGCCTCCCTTTGGAGGAACTCCTGGCACAGTCCCTCTCCTGCCTGGCATGCTGTGAGAGCCAGAAGCGGTGCAAAGCATCGAGTGGGCCTGGTGCACAGCACATGCTCCGCCAAGGAGCCCTGCAGCTCAGGGTGGGGCATGCACGCGAGTCAAGGAACAACGAAGGACTGACAACCAAAAAGAAGGAAAGGCGCAGTAAAAACAGCTGCAAACACAGTCCGTGTTTGACCAGCACATCAGTCCAGGACAGAGCAAAGAAACAATGGAGCCGGACAACGTCATCCAACCTCATCATGGGTGACCAAAAGTCCAATGTCCTATTTTATATCCTTTGCCCAAGGCTAAGAGGATCAACGTCTCTCACTGTTACCAGTGTCTCCACTCTCACAATAAAGTATATGACCCAAGATGTGGTCCTATTCCAGGGTATGGGGGCAGTGTAAAAGATCCACCCACTTCTAACATCCTAGTACCTTACACACTCAGTCAACTGTACAAAGTGATCCTGGAGCAAAGATTCCCATAACAGGCTGAGCCAGATAAAGATAAATCAATTGAGAAAATCTTCTTTCTGGCTGGATTCTATACTTTATATTCTCTATCCAAAAATATAATGCATCTAGCAAACACTGTGTGAATGGATGAGCAAATAGAAATGACATTGATAGGTCTTACTGTAAATAAGTTATATCTGCAACCATTCTCAATGATTTGTGTAAAGTAGATATTTTGGTTTTTCTTCCAAGATACAAGGATGCATACACACAACTGTCATAGACCAGAGGAAGTTCTATGTTTCAAGGTCTTCATCACTGTTGAGTTTGTCTGGCATATAGCAAAATGTAGGGCGAGCCCTAAGATTGCTGTCTGGCAGTAGGTCGGTCATATTTTCATTTATGAGGTGATGAAGGTGAGATATGTTTCTGTGGCTCCTTCTAAACAGTCAACAGAAGTTCACTCAATAGGCAAGTGTCATGACCACTCCAGAAGTAGACAACCTGTGGCCAAACCAAACCGCCTGTTTCTACTGCCAGGAAGCAGTGACCTCAGCTGCATCCCAGGGGCCAGTGCTTCTCTGTTATTAGTGCTTCATGTTAAGTACTGAGGCCAGACTAGCCACCAAAGCCACCAGGGGAGAGACTATCCTGAGGAGCAAAGGCATCTCATCGGGAATCCTCACCAGCACCTACTGTCATCCACGAAGGTATTGCTGTTGCCTCCTCTTGCAGGCCCCTGCTGGGGAGCATACACTTGACCTGGTCCTGAAGAGACGGCCACTGCTCCCCAACACCATCTGGACAGTTGCATCAGAGTGACCTTGTTTATGCACCAAAATCCTGAGCATCTGCTCACAGTCAACAGGCCCAGGGACACTTTTGACACTGGTGTCCCTTTCTTGGAAATTTGGGAACAAAATCAGAATTAGGACCAGAAGCTCTGTCCCCATCTCCCTCCAGGCCATACAGGAGTCCTGTGGGTGCGAAGGAAGAAGGAGGGAGCAGCTGCAGGAAGGAGTGGAGACAAAAAGGGGGCAGACAGGACGCTCCGAGTCCCCGCAAACCTAGTCACAGCTCTAACTGCTCAAGGGACCCAGCCACTGCCTGCTCTTAGGTGACATTCCTGTCTCCTCGAAGCAAGTCCCCTCTTTTCAGTTCAACTCATTGAATTCTCTAACAGAAATCCCTAATGACTGCAGAGTGTGAAAACTGTCCTGATTTAAAGCATCTGTGAAAACATTAAATATTTTTTTAGTTATAAAAATGGAGCTACAGACTAGATCCTGTCGCATCCCTCTGGCAGGATCTTGCCTCTGCTTGCACAGCCCCTGGGAGCTTCACCCAGCTTAGCCAAGGAAAAAGGAGTCTGCAGGGACTGAGCCACATCTGCAAGCCTTTCTCTTACCAAGTCCCGGGGACTTCCTGGGACAAGGCTACTTCCCATGTCCCTCTCTGCTCTGCCACTGCTGCCTACCATCCCACTCTCCTTTGGCACAAGTCCCCAGCCTCCCAGGCTCACAGTAAGGTAGCATATGCCACACTTGTCCTTGTTACAGCTGAAGATAGACTCCTGAGCCCTTTTCCCCGCCAAAGATAGGGTTACATCTTAAATGACCTATTGACCAAAAAAGTTGTCTGGCTCTTTTATGGGCTGGAGCCCTCCAAGAACCAATACGCAGGAAATTGTTTAGAAACAGGGAAAAGGGCTTGCCAGAAAAGAACTGGGAGTATAGACATGTGGAGGAGGGGTAGGGATAGCAGAGAGGAGAGCTGAAAAGGATTGGGGGGACACTGGCATCCTAATTCGCAACCTCAGAACCAAAGTTCTGAATCCCACAGAGTTGGACTCATCTTTATTGTGGCCATGAACCATGTGTGGCTACTTGATTTTGTAGTTGAACGAAGAATAATTAAATCTGGTAAAGGAGTTCCTTGGTGACACTAGCCACATTTCAGGAGATCAGCAGTCACTTGGCGCTGCCATACTGACAGCACTGATACCAGGAAAGTCTTGTTGCAAAGAGCTGTGATTGCAGACAGAGTACTTCCTGTTTCTACACAGGACTCAACCTGAATAAGGAAGCAAGAGCTGAAGAGAACAAACCAGATCCGCGGGAATCCCACGTTAAGAGTGTTAGTAGGTAGCTGCTAGGCTACATAATGTCTCAAAGATGCCCAGCAGAGAAGTTCCAGCATCCTCCTCCAGCGACCACTTAGATAGACATCCACTAGGGATGAAAGTGAAGGTCCGCTTGGCCTTAGCACATGCGTGCCCAACCCAGGGTCACAGCAGTTGTCTATGGCCTGTGTCCTCTAGTTTATCAAGTAACAACAAAATGGGGTATCAGGATTTCTTGCCACTTCATTTGAGTCCCCCATTTTGTATCGTACAGGATGGAACCCATTCATCTTCTCACCTGCTCATTAACATTATGAAAGACCCTCTGTGTGCTGGGCTTGTGGGGCCTCTTTTGGAGCCAGCTGATCCCCCAAGCACAGGGGACTTAGAGCAGAGGAGCACCCACTTAGAAGAGACGCCCCAAGGACCACAGCTGTGAAGAAGGGACATTCAGATAGTATAGGAGCATGTGGGTAGAACTGCCTGCAAAGTGTTGAGCAACAGACGGGGTGGGCTCCCAGGCTCGTGGGAGTACTGGAGGGAGTGACAGTCCCTCTCAGTGCCTTCACCAACTGCAGTATTGCCCAAACTAAAAGACAGCAGGGAAGGACAAAACCAGGAAATTCCACAAGCGTGTCAAGTCCATCCCAATCACAGACCATCGGGGACTTTTGGGATGCAACCACCTCCAGTAATGAACTCCTAGGTGTCTGCTCACTGTACTAACAGTCAGTGACAGTGGACTCTGAAACACAGAAGTGAATGTGGAAGAAAGCTGTAGCTTACATGGCCTTGGAGTCTCTGGTAAAGAAGACACATTCTCGTTTTTTAAAGTTTGCCTGAATAAAATCCACCATATCCTGTGAAGAAAAAAAATATGGAGTAATACATTACTCATCTGTTCTCAGGCCTGCTGGTATTAATGAACGCTATCTATGTCCTAGCCTGCCTTCAAAGGTTGTCATGGCATCCTTTTTGTTTCTTTAGTGTACTCTGGGTTTATTTTTAATGACACATACATTTAAGCTGTTTAACTAAATGAAAATGTTTCCAAAAGTTGCTTAGAGTTGTCTTGTGTATAAATGGCATCACACACACACACACACACACACACACACAAAATGTTTTTCTCTCTTCACAGTTACCAGGGAACAGAAGTGTTGGATGGTAGTTTGGAATTAGAAAAAACTATCAATGCATATTTTCATCCCTCTTCTGCCTAGTTTTTAAAAGGAGATGTTTTCCAAAATGTCCTACATTTGTATTTATGCTACTGTGGGCAAGGTGGTTAGGCGTAGCTGGGATCTCGTCCTAAGAACCAGCCCAAGCCTTTATAAGCCAAAGATGTCTCTTATGTTGGCAGAGCAAGACATTTGAAAATACATTTCTCACAGTGAGAGAATTGGCAATAGCAATGTATCATAAATAGTGACCAAGATACAAAAGGACTGTCAATCAACAAAAACACAGCAGATGGTCCAATGGGAAAACAGCAAGACAGAGTAGATATGGAAAAAAAAAAAAAGAAGCCCACAGGAAAGCCATAAACACATGAAAAGCTCACCATGTGGAGAGGCCACTTTACATCCACCAGGTCAAGAAAACGTAAAACAAAATGACAGTTGACAGGCATTGCAGATGAGGAGGAAGGTGAAGGATCTCACACTCCCAATGGGTGAGAGTAAAGCGGCACTACTCAGGACAATCGCACATGAAGCCATTTCTCCGAGGACCCGTGGGGAGAACGGCTTCCCATGAGCCACCTGCACTCTCTTAATTCATGGGGCTCCATCCTCAGACACGTCTAGCCCTGATGAAGCGGGGCTGTTAGGGGCTTCCCTTCCCCAGAAATCCCAGTCAATTGCAAGTCATCAGGTCTGGCAGCTGAAGTTCTCAGACCGCTTCCCCCATTGGCGGCCTCACAAGACAGGCTAGCTCTGAAGCCAGCCCTAACTTCTTGTCCCCTACAGCACAGCCAGCACCAGATATGTACTACAGAAGTGGGATTCCTCTCCTGGATGGAGTTCACCATGCACCCCCAACTCCTGCACTGACAAGTTCTCTGGTGTCAGCCGCTGGGAACCCCTGCCTCCTTTCTCACGCTTTGAACATGAGTGGCCCCATAAATTTCTTTGTTTAAACCCAGACCTATTAAAGGAGACATTCCACCTTCAACTACCAGTCCTCAACACAAAGGACATTTTTTTTCCCCAGATAGATCCAGTGTACACATCCAAGAACACTGGGTAGTGTGGCTTCCAACATCCAAAGCCAGAAACCCAAGTATGGGTTTCTTTGAGACTGGGTAAACAGAAGCTCATAGCGGAGTTCCACATAGCAGAGCAAAAAAATTACAGCTGCTATATGCATCAACGTGGACCTATTCCCCAAACAGTAGTGTTAAGTGAAAACCAAAGAGCTCACAGAAGAACACCTGTAGAGCACACCTGCACTTGTGTCAAACAGGGACAAAGCCAGTGACACATGACACAAGGTCTAGGTAACACGCAGTTCAGGAGAGAGCCTGTGACCTGTGCCAGGAGAGAAGACACCCCTGGGGAGGGGATGTTACACGGGCACTTTGAAGCATTCTGCTTCTCGGGCTGGAGGTAGCTCCCAGGTAGTCATGGTGATGACCTCTGGAAGCTCAAAAGCAGCATTTCTTCTATGTGTACTCCTCAACAAAACTTAGGATAAACACAGTTCCTATGCTTCTCTGCATAAAAAGCATTGGAAACCCTGTGCTGCCCAATTTTCCTCATGAGAATGTTTATCCACTTAGATGATTTTGAGTGCTCCTAATGTGGAGGACAGAAACTCAATAGCTTTAGGAAATATGGAATGATCCTGGAGGAGGGGGTGATGATTTTTTAAAATAATTTATTGCTAGAATAAACTCCCTCTGAAGGCGCACTTTCTGAGAGGTATGTGTGTGCTCAGGGGTCCAACAGGAACTCTTGGAAGCTAGAAGCCTCAGCCTTCATCCCACTTCCAGGGGCACCAGTGCCTGAGGCCATTGGCTCTCTGGAGAGAGCCTTCCAGCAGTGCTTCATCACTTGGGGTCAAAGGAGACGAAGGAGGAGGAGAGAAAGACCTGGAAATTCTGGAGAGGTCTCCATTGCCTTTGTCCACTGTTACGAGGCAGCACTATAGTGAGACATGGGGATGAACTCTAAGGGGGTGTGCTTAGTCCTGGGGTGTGCAGGATTAGGAGCGGCACCCGAGGGCCCTGAGCACCTCTCCCCTTCATTCCAGCCATGGAAGGCAGGTCTCAGTTGGAGGAAGGCACCGGCTTCTGCTGCTTCCCCTCTGTGAGTTTGCTGACAGTGCGATGATCCACACGGTCAACGGTGAAAACAACGGCATGACAGGCACCCTGACTCTCCCCCACCCCTGTTCCTTCTCCTTCACAAAGCCGACTTCCATCCCAACCCTTCATGCTGTAGTCAGCGGGAGCCAGACATCAGACTACAGTGTTCCGACAAGCGAAAGTGTGTGTCAAGCCTTGCAGTGTGGAGAGCTGGCCGGAGGGGAAACTCAGCAGAGATAGGCTCCTGGTGTCCCGCCAGCTGGTTCCAATAAGAAGCCACGACCTGTTGGCAGTGTCGGGACTGGCTCAGGACGAGGAGAGATGGGCCAGAGGAAGCAACCAGGAGACAAAAGTAACCACACTGAGTCAAGGACAAGGATGTCATAACTCAGTCCTGAACCCACAGGGTGAGAAGAAAGCGTCAATCATGGGCAGTGAAATCAACACTAAAACCACGATAAAAATGAAGAGAACAAATGACTCCAGGCTGCCCAGCCCCAGATGGGGCATCTACACTACAACCCCGACACCTAACACTTGGGGGACATCAGAAAATGGGGAGGGGCAAGGTTGTAGGAACCAGAAGTCCAGGCTGTTGTCTGCATGATGATGTCTTCTGAACAGGACAGAGATGTTGCTCCCATGAGCTCAACAATGCGGCTGCCTGCACAGACCTGAAAAGTCCACACTAATCCACATGTCACCACAGATGGAGGAAAGTTTCATAAAGCCTCACTCCTAGATGAAGAGCTACAGGCCGTCAGCAGCTGCTGGGGGAGGACAATCCATGCAAATAAAGTGTCAACATTAATTAGACTCAATAAGTCACACACACACACACACACACACAGACACACACACACACACACACACACACACACACACATATCAATATAGAAGAAGACATCAGGAATTCAATAAGGGGTTGTGGGGGGACACAGGAGGAGTTGGAGGGGGAAAGCGAACGGAGATGATATAAATATAGTATACTTGTATAAAATCCTCATTTTACCAGAAAAAAAATGATTTAAGAAACACAGTGTTTAAAGTTTTTCCTAATAGCTTATTAAAATAATTGCCATCTTAAAAGAGAAATGCTTGAAATATAATACAGCAATGAATATGCTTCTACATTCTACAAAAAAATAACTCATAAAACAAATACTAATTAGGACACAAGAGAAAAGACGGCCAGTCGGTCACTAAATAACCCTAACTGCGTCAAGCGGCCTCAGTGTGGACTTACACTGTCACTGTAGGACACATCGGTGCTCCGAGACACACTGGAGTACAGGGTCCGAGTGCTGCCCAGGGTCCCGTTCCTGCGGCTCCTCATGCTGAGCCTGGCTCCCTCGAAGGACATCTTGCCTGTGGAGGTTGGAGGACAAGCGGGTTACACACAGTAAAAGGACTTCCCCGGAAGCGTGTGCCCTGCTGCGCCTTCCTCCCACTCTCCTTTCCTTACCACGGGCAGTGGACTATGTTCCATCCGGCTCACCTGCATCGTCTACCACTGCGTTTGCACTAATTGTCTACTTGGTTGATGAATGTGATATGGCTAACACTAAAAAAATTACTATGTGCCTCTCTCCTTCTCTCTCTCTCTCTCTCTCTCTCTCTCTCTCTCTCTCTCTCTCTCGGCATTCCCATTCCAGGGCACATGTGGAGGTCAGAGGCCAACTTAAGAGGGTAGGCTCTTCCCTTCCACAATGCATTCCAAGAACTGAACTCGGGACCTCAGGCTTGCATGGCAAGTACTTTCTTCACTTGCTGAGCCAGCTCGCTGGCTTCTGGCTGGCATCATGGATCAGTCAGATCATGGCCACAGTGGAGACAGGATCTTGGATCTGATCCAAATCAAGCAAGGCCTACAAGTCACATGCCCCAGGTCTCCCTGAAACTCTGAGGTTGGTATGTGAGTCTCAGGGACACCCCATACCTCCCACCTGTGTGGGCATCAGGGAAGTTCTGTCTTGAGGGAGTCTTGCTACCCTCACTCTTCATCTCACTTGAAGACACTCATCTCTGCTGCTGAAGACCCATTCCCTCGTGTCTCCTAAACTCTGACCTACATCCCAAGCTCCAGACAAAACCCAGACCATATGACCTGTAAATGCAGCAAACGGGACATTTCTAGAACAAAATCACTAACCACACTCCTCACTGTCTTCTCCTCTAGGGACCACATGCATCCTGGACTGTCCCCTACTTCCTGAGCCACAGATCTTGGGAGCTTTCCTAGAACCCACTCAGCGTGCACAGCCCAAACTGGTTAAAGTACTAAACATCTCTTTTACTTCTCCCCTACCAGGCATTTCAAAGAGCCACACAGAGTATTAATAGGTACTTCACATACATTACTGTAAAACCGCAAATCAATCCTGCAATGCATTCGAGATGCCTCCCATATAGCAAATTGCTTCTGAGTGGGGCCCAGACGAGAAGCAATTTCATTTGCTTTGCAATGAGAAACTTTACTGTCCTGCAAAGGAAAAGGTGTGTTTTTGCATTGGAGACCACATCTCCACAAAACCATGGAAGCTGTGCAGCCGGCAGGCCTCTCCCATCTCTTTCGGGCATTGGTCCCTAATCCTTGTCTGAGGTCAACTGACCACATGAATCCATGTGAATCCAGGCACTTTTTATGATGTCTCATGTAACACATGGTACAGGTGCATGTTTACTGATCCTCTAGACACATTTCGGTGTGAAAAATAGAACAAACTTTTGAAGAAGTCCCAAGAGAAAAGACTGGAAGAGAGCTCCCAGGGGCCCGGAGGGAGGCTGAGAAGAGAGGGCCATAGGGGAGCCACAGGAAAGAAAAAGAGGATTAAACTCACCCAAAGGAGAGGGAACTGGAAAGACTGACAAAAACCAGAAAGGCCAGAAGGAAAGAAACCTGGGCCTTAGAGCAGGCAGAAACATGTCCAATCAATGTCCACCCCCAAATGCCCATCCACATCTAATAATCCTGAACCTGCTAGAAAAAATGGGCCAAAGACTGAAATCTAAATCCATGACAGGGCATACAATCTCTAATCAACATTGTTCAGCCTCCTTGTAACCAAACAGGAAGAGTTCATCAACACCAACAGGGAGACTTGTGGAAGGCAGTATTGTGTGTTAGGAAGAGGGTTGGGGCATACACTCTTAGACAGTGGGGGTGAGGATCAGGGGTGGAAGGTAGGGTAAAAACTTCTTTAGTTCCTGCAGTCATTAGTGATGACATAGCAAGCTTACGTCTTGCAAACAGCATAGCAAACTTTAAGAATGATCATTATTGGCTTTAGGGAATCTAGATAAAAGACTTAGTTTTCATCTGCAATGCATCCCCTGGTAGCTTGTCTACAGCCCAGTGGATGGCCCGACACCCATGAACATACTGGCAGCATGATACAGACTCGGTGAGAGTTTCTAAAAGTACATAAAGCTGGGAGGGAACAAGAGGGAAAGGTGTTGGAATAGTTGAAGGAGAGCATGGGGGTGGATTAGATTAAAACATATCATATGCATGGCATTCTCAAATGCTGTGGGATGTCTTTCTATATGCTGTGAATAAGTGTTGCTCCCATTGGCTGATAAATAAAGCTGTTTTGGCCTATGGTGAGGCAGCTTAGAGGCAGGTGGGAAAGCAGACATACAGAGAGAAGAAAAGAGAGTAGGAAGAGACACCAGCCACTGCCAGGAGAAGTAAGACGTGAAAGTACCAGTAAGCCTCAGCCATGTAGCAACTTCTAGATTAATAGAAATGGGTTAAGTTATAAGAGCTAGCTAGCAAGAAGCTTGCCATAGGTCACATAGTTTGTAAATAATATAAGCCTCTCTGTGTTTACTTGGGTCTGAGTGGCTGCAGGACCACAGGTAAGAGAGATTTGTCTGGACCATGGAGGGCCAGGTGGGACCTGAGACACATACAGCTACATTTGGCGCCCAACATGGGGCATGAACCCACAACCCCGAGATTAAGAGTCTCATGCTCTACCTACTGAGCTACCAAACAATAAAAAGATGGTATTCCAGGGTCTGAGGACAGTTGGTAAAGTGCTTGCCTCCCAAGTTTGAAGACCTGAGTTCAGGTCCTGAGAAAACCCATTAAAATGCTGGCTGTGATAGTATGCTCCGACCACACCAAGAGCAGGATACTCACGGCAGAGACAAGCAGATCTTTGGTGAAGTTCTAGGCCAATGAGACCTTGTCTCAAATAGAAGGTGAAACATGCCTGAGGATTGCCTGAGGGTTGACGTCACAGACTGTCCTCTGACATCCACATGTGTGTACATGTGCACCCACATACACATGAGTGTGAGATCCTGTACACACACACACACACACACACACACACACACACACACACAACACACACACACACACAACACACACACACACACACACACACACACACACACACACACACACACACACACACACTGAGTTACATTTGGAAGATGTCCAATAGTGAGTTACTTGCCACAGGAAAAACTAGAAACAACCTATGTTTCCATCACCAGGAGAATATTTCTCCCAGAATAGATGAGAAGATGATGTGGTGACAGGGGAGTCCTGATGATATGGGAAATTGCTAGGGCTTCTTGAATGCAGGGAAAGATCAAGATGAAGGAAGTAACAAAAAAGTTCTGATTTCTGCACTTGTGCTCAAGTGCTACCCCTGTGACCTTAAATAAATGCTTCTGGACACAGTTTCCCTACACAGGCAAGTCAGGCAGCATGCCTGCTGTTAAGGCAATTATCAAATGCAGCACACATAACACTCAAAAACATGTGGATCCAGATCCATCAAAGTGCTAGCCACTGTTGTGTGGGCAGAAGGGGGGCTATACATGATTTTAATTTTATTCTTTAACTTTTCATGTTTTCCCAAATTAAATATATCATGTATGCCACCTGGAAAAAAAACTTTAAAGAAAAGGAAAGCATCTTGGAGCTGGATAAGGTGAAGATAGCCCCTCTCCTCCAGGAGACAGGAGGTGGAGAAAGTGAAGTTGGCCACACAAAGGTCTGTGTCTCCAGAGCACATGGAGAGGAAAGCAGAGCTGGAAGAGAAAAGGTCATCATGGGTCGTTTGCTCTACAGAGGAAGTATCACGTTTGAGTCTCGGGAAAGAAAACTAACAGATCGGAGAAAACCAAAGTCCAGAGTAAATATCAGAATATAATAGTGTTAACAATAACAGTACAGGGACCAGAAGGCATCTCAAGGTCAACGGGAGAGATGAGCAATTGAAAATAAAATAGGTTAAGAGAACCACAAGTCTAGCACAGGTTTTTGGGGGCTCACTCAGCAACCAGAGATATAACTTCAAAAGAGTCCCCTCAGGGTCTCCTTCCATATGAATAGGAGCAAAGCAGTCTTCATCAGGCTTTTTATTTGTGGTTCTAAAAAGTTTCCTTTTGCATAAGGATATAGATGCAAACATCTGCCCTGGTGCCCTTAGTCCACTCTGTCCATTTGCTCTGGTCATATAACTGCACAGGTGGCCAGAGGAATTTCTGTAGCTCTTGTCTCTTGGAATGGAGAGGGAGCCACTGCTTCACTCAAGGAAAAAAAAAATCACTTAGAGATAGTTTAATAAGAACAGGGCTCAAAAATTTAAAGCTGAGGCATTTGTTCATGCCAGCCTGTCCTACAACTGGGAATTAAACTTTCACACAGACCTTGAAAGACAGGATTCATAATCCCAAGGTTCTAACACAGTACAACACAGAATGGCATAACATACCCATGCTATTTGATTCGCAAGCTCTTGAAGGCTCACCAGAGATGCTTCTTGGATGCTGCTTCTTTCTAGAGCAGGTACTGGTGTTCTGCCATCCAGAACACTTCTTTAAATGTAAGTTTCAAGTCCAGGGCCTCTTGGCTTATCTCTTGCCCCACATGAGTGTATTTCTCTCAATCATGGAACTCTGGAGAGCAATAGGACAATGAGGTCAAGAAAATAATGACAGACACTGCCTAACGTGGGCCAACTCATGAAGATGACCACCATGAATAAGACTCCACTAGGAAAACAGCATGGTAGGTGCCCTGCAAGACTGAATGGTGGTTTTTGATGAGGATGGATCCATGCAATTCGTGAGCTTTGCTCAGTACCCTATTCTGCTTCTAAAACATTATAGAGGAGGGAGCTGGGGAGATGGCTCAAAGCTTAAGAGTACTTGTTGCTCTTGCAGAGGACCTGGGTTCAGTCTCCAGGAACAGGGTCACAACCATTTGTAACTTCAGTTCCAGAGGAATCTGATGGCTCCTTCTGGCTTCCATGGGCACTGTTCACATGAAGTACACATACATTCATTTGGACACACACACACACACACACACACATAAATAAAAATACTTTTTTAAGT